TTTACCAAAAAAAATTATACTAAATTATTTATATTTATTATTATTATTTATTTAGTCAAGATAGCTCAGATATTCATGAGTTTTATCACACCAACCACTACAGTCCTGCATCAAGGTCAAAAAGTCATTCGGGTAGAATTCTGTCATAGCATAGATGGTCAATATAGATGATTGCTGGGCAACCGTTTTGTTCAATGGCTAGGTGCCTAAAACATTAGATCACTCATGAGTTCTTGTTTTGTTCACCAACAGTGTTCTGCAATGCACATGAGATTGTAGAACTATCATGGATTGCTCCATAGAGCTGTTTTAGTTGGATTTTGTCTCCAAGAAATGTTAAGAATAGTTCTGAGCATCTGTAGAGTTTTGGTTAATGTGCAAGCAGTGGCACCATACATTAAAACTGACTCTACAGTGTAGCAGAAGAATCTCTATTTGATGTTTTCTGGTTGATCAAATTTCCAGATTATATCCATTTTATTCAAGATGGCCTGGGCTTTAGCTATGCAATTTATTTCACATCATCAGTATGTAAAAGATTCGACAAACCCCTACACATTGAATGCCTGGCCATTTCACTCTCTGCCCTTCACACACTGTTCCATTCATTATGTGGATATTGACTGAGGGACCGACTTTCCCTTTTTATCCCCTCATGTTCCATCAACTGGAAAGGGAGATCACTCAGATAAGTTTTGGGTGGTCAGTTTTTCAAAAAACCCTACATTTACGGCTAACTAAAAGACTAGCAAAACTTTGTTTAACAATTTAAAGGTGGGCTGGAGACAGGATTCCAGAAAAATCCTGGTTATTAAATTTACTCAAATTTCTTGAGAAACCCTGGTTATTGCGTTAAAAGAAAAAAAATGACTCCCTGTTAATCTAAGGATGTGACTTCTATTGCTTCCTTTGCATGGCCTTTTACCAATTATTTTTTCCCTTTGCAAAATTGAGCTTTTCAATACACCAAAGTTCTTGTAGATAAATATATTTTTATAAGGAATTTTGTTAAAATGATTTTTCTGGTAATTTGAAAATATGTCAATATTTAAAGACACTAGCCAAATATCCTTCCTCAAAAGAAAAGTAAGATGTGATAGTTGTGTCTAAATTTCTAAGATGAGGATTTATCATTATTTACATTTGAACTATTATCCTCACCTTCATTGTTATCATGACAGCCGAGTGGATAAAAGCAGTAGTTTTTGAATTTGGTGACATAGTGATTATGTGTAATTGCCTTCAGTGGAAATGGGTGAGCAATAATTGAACAGTATTAAATAAAGAACCAGATGAGATATACCTAGACATGAGCAGTGGAACAAGAAGAGGCTACCCCCATAAATTATATAAAAAGAGTTCAGCTCAGACTTCCCCATAGGTTACACAGGTCGCTATACACATGAGGAAGGCTAAAAGTACCAGCAAATATGAGGACAATAGTCCAAATATAAATAGTGTAAGAGAAGTTATATTAATAAAATTCAGCAACTGACTATATTTATATATTTAAATAATCTTGTAACATTTTTATTAATAATACAAATTAACAATAGACTACTCAGTTGTTATTTCAGTAAATAATATTTTCAATTACATATGAAAAATTAATTCATTTTGTTTACATCCAATCAAAATGAAAAAAAAAAAATTTTGGATGTTTAAATTTTTTGTCAATAATAATTCAAAATAATATTTGTAATATTTAATATCAAATTAATTTCTGCTTTGGCCCATTATATGGTGATTGTCTGCAATCTGGTGAAATGGAAAACATAGCATTTTCTGGTATAATAGTTAACTGGAGAATGTTATTAAACTCGCAATTGAGCAAAGTTTTAAGTCCCCCAACTATGTTTAGTCTCGGTTTGTGTCCGATATATCTCAAATTGCTAATAAAATGTCAGCCTATGTTACATTATTTTCTTGTCATCAGGACATATGTTGCATTTAGCACTAAATTTCACCCCCTCAGTAGCTAAGTACATGAATTCCAAAATTAAATTCTTACGAATACTGAGGGACCCAGGTGACCCTGATAAAGGGCATCTGTACATATCTGCAAGGTACATTTGTAAACAAACTATGTCAATTTTACTGATTCACCTGGGACAGTTTGTACTGAGTCATACTGGTTGAAATAGCAAGTTTGCTGAATTAATTTCTGGGATTTCCATCCACTGGCCTGAAAATTCAAAAATATGCACTTCTCAGAGAGTGTACATATTCCTAATAAGATTTCTTTAGTATTCAAACCAGTAGATGGAAATAAATAAATATACTGTTTGATAAGTAAAACAGAGCAGGTACCCAAATATGGGTAGCCATTGAAAATAATGATAAACAATAAATTAAAAATTAAAATCCATTCATGTACACACACACACATATATATATATATATATATATATATATATATATATATATATGTAGAATTATTTATTTAAAAATATGATTCCAACGCTACATAAGGGTTCTCATGTTTCAAAACAAGAGTCGAAAACTTCAATATAATTATTTGAATTAAATTGAATTAAGTACCAAGCTCTGTTCCATCTTCAAGTGAAATTTTTTTTGGGGAATAACTAATTCCTGAAATTTACGCATTTTATAAGCATATTCATTATTAAAATTTCTATGGTAACATCTAGAGCAATTATTTAAAGAAAAGGGGCATAAGATTTAATCATTTGTATCAATATCTCAGTTACATTCAAAGAGGTCAAGTCAGGGTAAGATTGGGGTGTCTAAATTCAAAGCTGATGACATTGTCTAGTCTGGTTAAGTGTCTATGGAGATTTATTTATTTTTTTATTTTTTTCTGAAAGGGTTTTGTGTATATAAAAAAAACTGTCATAAGTTGCTAACATTTGTTTTTTGACGACTTCATAAAGGGTTATCTTTTTTTTTTTTTTAGGGCATTTAAAATATTTATTTAGACTATGGAGTTTAAAAATTATTTTATTGTTTGTTTGCTTTTATGCTCATTATTCAATGCGAAAATTTGATGATGTCGGAAAAAACCGTTAACTCATGTCTATTGTTTAATAGATTTTTATTATTTAGAAACTTAACTTTTAGCTGTTGTTAATTTCTCCTCATATTTGACTGTTCAAAATGTATTTTATTTTTATCTTGTTGTGAATATTAGTAGGAGTGGACTGGAATTCGAGTGAGCACCTTTTTTTTTTAAAAAAAAAATACTTTTACTTCATTCCCACTGTTAAATAAGGTGAGGTTGATCGTAGGAGAGAGACATTTAATATACAGGGCCTCTCTCATAGCTAGATATTTCCAGTAATGTAATTTATATAGAATTTTAGTGTTTTCTGCCATAATTTTCTTAAAGGTTTATGTAGGTATGTTTGTTTGTGTTATTCCATAACACAAATGAACACTCGGAAAAGACCTGGAATACTAATATATAGACAAATTCTTTTTGGTTCTTGTGAGTGGAGGGTGTTAAGACAAGGGGATGCATCCTTACATGCAACAATGAAGGCCAACGTGCACATTAGATTGCAGATAAGTGTACACGTCATTTGAGAATCAAAAACAGCTCAGTCTGCAATGAGATCCAATCTAACTGTAAGCCCATGAGGGCTCGTTGAAGCTAATTTGAATAAACTAACGTGAGCGTCTTAAATTTACAGTAACTAGTAGTACGAGTGAAAAATTTCCGAGTTCTCCTATTTTAATTTTCTTATGAATCATAAATCTTAAGTTAATGACTGAATAAGCTCTTTGCCTGTCCGACGACTATAAAATACCTGCAAAAGTTCCCCTATTGCATCATTTGGTTTGGTGGCATATCAACCTCTACAGGTTATTTAATGTCGAAATCTAAATACTTTGTACATAAATTTAGGACTTCAACTACAGATGTTTCGTATTTAATTTTATACTTTCAGAGTAAATGTATGTTTTATAGATATAAAGTTCGTAGATGGTCTATTGCAGGTGTTATATATTTTGGTATAAACCTTCAGATATGTTGACGGTTTCAGTATTCTTCAAATAGTTTGCTGAAGTTCGTTGATCTTCATTCTTCAGAAAGTATCTATCGCATCATTAAATATTTGAACCTAATACTTTTTATGAAAATATTGCAAGAACACTCATACACATAATTAAAATAAGAGGGTACAAAGGAAAGGATTAAAATTTGACAAGGTTTTCCATTTCACTGAAGCAGATATTAAATGAATGAGAGCATTATCGCTTCTGTCTTCCCTTATTTTCTTATTACATATGCTTAATTTTCTTCTCACTAAAACCAGTGTCTCTGATATATCTTTTCATTGTCTCCTCTCACAGTCAAATCATAATGGTCCATTATCTGAGGTAATGGCAAGGTATTAAGTATTAACTAATGGAGGAACAAGAGCCATATGATGATTAATCATTTTCACACATGTCAAGGCAATGACTTTCTTCCAAGGAAAACAGCATTAGATTACAAAATGTTAAATGGTTCATTTTTAATCCTCAATCTAAACATTATTTCCTCTCAAAAAAATACGCATCAGGCTCTCTCTAATCACAAGAATACAAAGATAGATAAACATATCTCTGATTTCTATATTGTCTCTTGACCATTACATAGGAGCCATTTTATTTTTTTGATTTACCAGTTTAAATCAACATTGCCTATGGAAATTTGATGAAGCTGTCTTCATTTTGAGAGATAATATATACAAATGTTTTTTTTTTTATTTTAGGATAATTCTTACAAAAAAAAAAAACATTTCCAGATTGCCAGGGCAGCATCCATCAACTTGACAGAACAAATAGATTTAAGTAAAAATGATTAAGATCTATGTTGTCTATTCAAGTGAAATTGATATCCAATCAAAGATAAAAAAAAAAAAAAAAACTGAATGTCCAACCTGAATGTGACATTTGTTTATCACAGCTGAGGATTCGAGAAAGACAAGACAATGAGTGGCAGAAATAAAAGAAGAGAGAGAGAAAAAAAAAAAAACGGAATGGTTTATTGTTCATTTATCAACAATCATTTTCTCAGGAGAAGTTGGGGAAGTGGTGGCTGGTGGAGCTGTGGGTGAGGTACTGGTGGTGGCGGTGGTAGAGCTTAGTGGTGCAGATGAAGAAACAGATGAAGTAGTGGTTGCCAGGGTAACAGTTGTATTTGGTGAGGTGGAAATTGGGAGACTGTCAAAGAAACGCTTGTACATTGGTCCCATCTGGGCAATGTTGGTGTGCAACACGGAACGGATGACTGTGGAAAACTTGGGATCACAAACTGTAAAATATTAAAAATTTCAAAATAAGAAGAAAAAAAAAAAACAAAAAAAAAATTGTGTGTGTGTGTGTGTGTGTAAAATTTCAAATCTGACATACTGGGTACGATGAGTAAATTGTCGCCATTTCATACCTTTAATTTCACGCATGCACGTTTGTTTTTGATTTTGACAACTGCACAGTATAGTAGGGTCAGTTGGGCACCATCTGTGAGAAAAAGAGCACCATGATGCAATTCACTCCACCAGAAATTTGGAAACGTCATGCTGTGCCGTTTGACATTCATACTGGAAGCTCCAATATGAACATTTCATAGTGTTTGAGTGTAAATCTGAGGGCAGTGCAGATGATTCGAAAAGAGTTGGGGGAGTTTAATGGTGATTACGAAAGCATTTGATAGTGATGGCAACGTTATGTCCCTATTTATCTTCCCACAGGGCCTCAGATTCAACACAGAGGCCTATATCAAGTACCTTGAGAAGATAGTGCTAGAGGACAGCTGCCTGAAGACCTTATGTCTGGCAACAGGACTCTGCATCATACCACACAAGCAAGAGAATCCAGTAATGGTTGTCAGACAATTTCTGTGACTACATCATCCCTTACATCTAGCCACCTAACTCCCCAGACTGCAACCCCCTTGATTATTATATGTGGGGCACAATTGGGCGAGAGACCAACAAAACTCTTTGTAACACCAAAGATGAACTGAAGGCAAGGATTATGGCAGCATTCACCAACTTAAATAAGGAGACTGTCCAAAAGAATTGCAGGAAATTCCGAAGTCTGTAGGCTGTGGTTGAAGCCAATGGCGATTTTATTGAATAAATTTACTCTTTAGTATTTCAAGATATTTTTGTATAATTTTAGTAAATATATCTCTTAAACTGAGATGTCAGTGTTATTTTCATTTTTGCATAATTTAGACGACAATTTATCCATCGCACCCTGTATCTGAACAATATAAAGAAACACAATAGGAAAACTTCTCTTAGCCATTGCATTTTGTTTTCTTATTGGACTTTAAGGAAAATGCAAAGATCTTATTTTGTAACAAGTTGCATATAAATACTTGTTACAAAATAAAGTCATTGCATTTGCCCTGATAAAGTCCCTCAGAGGAGAAAATGTGTTGGCTAAGATAAGTTTTCCTTTTGTGTATATGAATTCTATTTTGACAGCAATAATTCTCTCAAACGTTTGGTTAAATAATATGGACAAGTTCTGGCAATCAATTTTTTTTTTTTTAATTTTTTAAAAAAAATTTCCAAATTATGTGTTTTGTGTTATCAGTAAATTTGCCAAAGTTCATATTTATTTTTATTCTATATTATTTCCTTCCCAAGCACTTTCAAATGTTGCTACATTCATGTTAAAGGATTGTTCTGTGTATATTTATGCAACTGTTTTTGTTTAATCACTGCATTTTCATGTTTGATGGAACCAATTTCAAATCATTCCTTTATTACAACAACTGCCACATTCTGATGTCTTTCTTTGTACTGTGCCTTATAAAAAATGTTGGTGTTATCAAGCATAATATTAATGTAAGACAAATTTTAGTAAATTTTTAGAAATTTTGGTGCTGTCTACTAACATTTGTCTTATGTTAGATAAGACCAAAATTTTATATAGGAAACAGTGCAAAGAAAAACTCCCAATTCTGGAGGCTGTTGTTCTAAAAGAGAAGTAATCTACATTAAATAAAGTATCTTTCTACATAGGGGACTGTATATGGAAGTGTGTTTAAAAAGAAAACAAAAAACACACATAAAAATTTCAGTTTGACCATTTAAATCACATCACCTTGAGTGACTTGAAATTGGTTCCATTAAATGTGAGAATGCTGGAATTAAAAACCAATTGCGGAAATATATACAGAACAATCCTCCAAAATGTATGTAGCAACATTCAAGAGTATTCGGGAAGAAAATAACACAAAATAAAAATGAATCTGAACTTGGGCAAATTTACAGATAACACAAAACATCTAATTTGGAAATTTAAAAAATTGAAAGATAAAACTTGTCCATATTACTTAACCAAATTATTTATTATTGTTTATAAATTTTTCTAAGAATTAAAAAAAAATTTTAATTTGAAAAAAACATTATTTAAAAAAAAAAAAAAAAAAAAATGGTTACAATGCCAAGCAAAAACTACGAATTAAAGAATTTAATATCTTAAACCATGAAAGGGGAATAACTCTTGGCATTTTTATGAATATGAATTGTCTATGATCATTGAGAAACGCAGATGTTGGTAGTCAAAACTGAATTTAAAAAGGCAAACAAATATTTGAAATAAACAACTTAATTCCTAATTAAAAGTTAGGACCAATTTTATTCATATTTCACTGCTTATTCGTAACATGTCCATGTAAATATCAAAATATTAATAAAACTACAAATGAAATTAAGAATATTTTTTTAATAATTCTTTTATTTTAGCTTCAATTGTTTTTTATTGATCATCATTCCACAATCGTTAGTTAACAGCATGGATCAGAAATAATAAATTTATTTACAATTCACCTGAATTATTAATGTTTGTGGCATAATGGTGTTGGGATAATACTTCACATATGCCTCATAAAACAATAAAACCCAAGTTATATATGTTTATTACAATTAAACATCGTGTGTTTGATTTCCTCAATTCCAGCATAAGCAAACAAGCCATCTGAAAGCGCCATGGCTTCCAGGTTGGATATACCTGCATAGCTGCCCGTCTTTCAGAGTCCCTGTTCATTGATCTGTCACCTCAACTAAGAAACACTTTCCTGAACCATGCTAAATAACCAGGTTGGATATACCTGCATAGCTGCCCGTCTTTCAGAGTCCCTGTTCATTGATCTGTCACCTCAACTAAGAAACACTTTCCTGAACCATGCTAAATAACCAGGTTGGATATACCTGCATAGCTGCCCGTCTTTCAGAGTCCCTGTTCATTGATCTGTCACCTCAACTAAGAAACACTTTCCTGAACCATGCTAAATAACCAGGTTGGATATACCTGCATAGCTGCCCGTCTTTCAGAGTCCCTGTTCATTGATCTGTCACCTCAACTCAAAGAAACACTTTCCTGAACCATGCTAAATAACCAGGTTGGATATACCTGCATAGCTGCCCGTCTTTCAGAGTCCCTGTTCATTGATCTGTCACCTCAACTAAGAAACACTTTCCTGAACCATGCTAAATAACACTGGGTGCCATTGGCCAGGCTGATATTTACTATGAAAGAACATTTAAAGATATAACTGTTTATTTTACACTGTTTAAGTGAAGCAAAACTTTGACAGATTATTTTACCATTGTTGCAATAAAAAGCAACTGAAATTATGATGAATTGATTATTAAAGTAATATTACTGTTTGGTAATTGAATATTGATTACCTATATATATTTACAAGTTACCATAAGTCTAAAAAGAAGTAAATAAAATAAACCGATAAATAAAACAACGAATATGTACCAAATAAAATAAAAATTATCAGCAAGTTCAAAATCTCACCTTTTTTCTGATGATCAAGATTATTTACAGGTGGGTTTTCCTAAGGAAAAAAAAAACAATTGAAAACTTAAGATAAATAGATTAATCTTTACCCTCCAAATGACAAAAGTTACAATGAATTATTTAGACTTGCATCTTGACCTTTCTTGTTTCAGTTACAGGAATTAAGACAACAAAGGTGAGAATACTAGTTTAAATAATTAATACAATCATGACAACACTTCACCTAAAAACTACAGACAACACAAGATTTGAAAATCCTTTAGTCAAAACAATAAGGGAAACAACTAAAAGTGAGAATGCTAGTCTTAATAAATCATGGAATAATGACAATAATTCTTCTAACTTAAGATGGCATACTGGCAAACACCTTATCAAATATTTTTATGTTTTATAATAAAACGTGTTTTCAATTACATACTTAACCACACATTAACCTGTTATGTTTCTTTTAAAAGGAATTCATGATACAAAATAATGAGGTAAACATATTATCAATTTTATTATTAATTACACATTTTAATTTGTATTTAAAGATGTTAAAAGAAGGTTTATTGTTTCACTTTATAGTTAACATGTGTGAACATTTGGATTAATAGCTTAAAACAGGTGTAATTGTTTTCAAAATAATAAGTATATTTTCTATTAATTATTAGTTAAGTAAACATTTCTCCGGCCTGAAAATGAATGAAAAGCACCAAAAATCCATCCCGATTTAAAATATAAAAATAAATTATTTTATGATATACGTTTTACTTCTTTACATTAAAAGAGAAATTTTCTTTCATGAAATAAGTGGAATGTAACAGATGTAAAAAAAAAAAAAATTACCAAGATTTTTAAAATAAGAAATATTTCTAAAACAATTTCCTTCATTTGTAAATAAGTTCTGAAAGTTTCATTAAAATCTGTCAATTATTTGATTGCTGAAAGAATTTCCAAATTACTGTGTTTTTCATCACAAGAAAGACGCTAAAATTTCCTATAGTACTCTTTGGTCCCCCTTCTCCCCAGGCACAAACAAAACACGATTTTTAATCAAAATTTCAAATGTTCTAAAAAGGATAAAAAAAATATAATTTAATGATCAAAAATTCCTTTGGCGATAAAACTGTTTTTTATTAATTTGGGGTCATTTTCTCACCACGGCATGCTCATTTAGCAAATCAGTGGAGGTACCTAGTTTTAACAATTAGATATCTCTCAATGCCTCAAGGGAAGAAACAAAAAGTTGAACTGCATCAAATGTGATTGTTGAAACTTGTATATTTTCTCATCATTCATAAATACTTGATAGATTTATCAAGAGAGTTTCTTCTTTCTGATAGAAATTCCCCACCTTTTAGGAAGGTCACCGGAATTAAGTAAGTCACTTCGATCAAAACATCACTTGGAATGTAAACAGAAACCTATAGCCTGTTGGAGTGAATAAAAAGACACACCACATAATTCATCCCAGCAGGTATGCAATGTAAAGAAAGATTTCCACTAGATGACTCATGTCCATTGAAATAGCCACACCCAATTCACGTATCCTTCACCAAACAGTAATTAATACTGGAAATTGGGATCAACAGCTAAACTTTCCATTAAGCACTGACTTACATAGCTGATTATATAACATTTATGTCATGTTGGTCCCATGACAATGGAGAAAGGATGATCACATTTATCAACTTTTGTATGGTGATAACCCTAGCTAGTGTGTTATGTGTTACATTTGGGGCAGTGACCTCTGGCCCATATTACAAGTTAGCACAAACTGGCATTTTTTCAAAAGTTAATTTTTCACCAAAAAGACTTCTAGGGGAGAATAAATATCAACAAAGTTTTTGTTTGATTTTGTTTAGCAGCATATCAACCACTATGGGTTATTTAATGCTGAAAACTAAATATTTTGAATGCAATTTTATGCCTTCAACTAAATATATTTTGAACACAGCTGCAGATAAAATGTATTGTTGGTCATTTTGCTATAAAATGTATTGCTGGTCACTTTTTTTTTATATATATGTAGTTTAACGTCATGCCCAAGACTATGTCAACAAAGTACAAAAAGAAACAAAAAAAGAAAGAAAAAATCCAATTTTAACTCAAAATGCCTAGTAAGTTCATTTAACTGACCTTCATGTACCGCCAGACAGTCTGCAACAATAAGTAAAGTTCATAGGACTTGACAACTGGTAGGAGTTCGCCGATATAACACAGAGGTGGGGAGAGTAAGTTGCTCTGCAAGAGGAAAAAAAAAAAAGAAAATGATAATAAGCAGAAAACAAATACAAGAGAGAAATAAAAATGATTATTATCCAAACATTTTAAACAATATGATGCTAAAAAACAAATAAATAAATAAAAAGGAAAGAAAATTTATTCTCTTATGAATTAGAGAAAGAAAAACTGTTGCAACATACTCAGTAAGAGTAGGGATTTTCCAAGCGTAGCTCAGATGTGGCACGAGGCTGAAAGTATGGGGCACCCAGTGAGGATCAAACTCACTACTCAGTCATAATTATGCTAGCAAGACAAGCTTGCTAACCATTACACCACCTCGAGGTGCCCAAATACTCAGTAAGAGTAAAGCTGGTCTCTTTCTACATAGTTGCCAAAAACTGCGTTCTCTCAATTGAACAAAGATGCAGAAAAAAAAAAAAAAAAAAACTTGAAAACAAAAATGCTGCTCAAAGCCACAAGAAGAAGAAATATAATATTGATAAATTAATTTTTTTTTGTTTTTTTAATTGGTTTCACCCCATGCAAGGCAGTAAAGCCACTAAGACAAAAGGGGTTACAGGGTGTGGAAGAATTAGAAACGGAAACATTAATAACGAGCAGGAAGAGAAAAGAGTAATCAGGAGTAGATAGCAATTGATATTGCGTTAAAATTTTTGCAGATAAGAGTTGTCTGGAAAGTGCATGGAGCCAGAAGGGAGTTCCACAAGTGAGAAGTGCGAGAAAAACTGTTTGTATTCTTCATTATTTTGTTGACTTTTAAAACAATGTTCAAGTTTAAAATACTCTTCACCTGTTTAAAGAAATGTGGAGGTTTACAAAATTGTGGGTTTTGTTTACATGTATGTTTTGATGAAGTTGTGTGTTCACTATGTAAACAAAGAAGATAGAAGAAGCATACACAAAACTTGAGTTTCTGTTGTGGACATTTATTCCTTTTATGTTGAATGTATTGAAACAAAATTAAATATCTCTTGAGTATGTCTGTTTTCCTTTTTGGTTCAGAAATAATTCATGGGAAGTAAGGATAAGAACTGGTAAAGATGGTCAAACTAAAGTCAGCTTTGCGCTGAATTAGAACGGCAAAGCCTCTACTTCATGAGTAGGGCTACTGAAAACACATCAAACGATATCGTTGGAAAGTGGAAAGAGAAAGATACGGTCCTTTCTGGAAGTGGGGTTATAAAATCACACATGTGATCAGAAACCATTTCAGGTTTCTTTATAACTTTCATTGTGGGCAAATTAATTTATTAGTTTTATTTTCCCGCAAAAACAATGTAAAATCTGATGTATGAGGAACTCCTCCTCCCTATCTTGGAAGCTTGTCTTACATGTATTTCCTTGTACTTGTTGCTGGCTCCACCAAACGAATTTCCTACATCCTGAATGAAAGTTGACCAAGCATAGCCGAGATTGTATTTATTTGGATATGAAAATTAATAGTAAGAGTTTAGTGAGAATTTATTTCATAAGTGATTCCTAACTGCATGTATACACACTTTAAGATAGTGCGATCCAAGTGTTTCCTAGACAAGTTAACCCAACCCTCTTAGTGTAGATGGAGGCATGGTGTAGTAGTGCTTAACAGCTCAGATTGTGTAATCGGAGAGCCATGTTCTAATTCCAGTCAAATCCATTACATTCACTTACATGCTAATAGCCTTGGGAAAGGTATGAAGCAACCTCTTCTCCTCCCAGCTATGAGTAAAATAGCAGGACAGACAGGGTCCTAGAGTCTTGGGTGACAACCAGTCTAGAAGAAAATTGATTATCTCAGATGGATGATGTCTTTACTAGTTTAGCCTTAAAAAATTCAAAATCAGACAGGACTCAGATATATAGTTATAGCTAGAATATATAGTTATAGCTAGAATATATAGTTATAGCTAGAATATATAGTTATAGCTAGAATTCTTCTTTTGAGATCTGGTCTTCAGCCAAAGACTTCCAGAAGAAAATCAGTTCCATACAAAAATTTCCTGGGATACAAATCTTATTGGAAGCTATTTCTTTATTCTAATTTTACAGAGTTTACTTCAATTGTCATAAAAAGGAAGCAAGAAGATGAAAAAAAAAACAAATTGAAAATATATTATCTCAGAAATAATTTATTTGAAATCTAACTCACCTGGCAAACAAAACAAACTACATCTGAATTCTGATTTCAGTTTATTTTCAAGAAGTTTGTGAAAATCGGTCAAGCCCGAAAAAAAAAAATAACCAAATTATGATATTTCCTGCAAAGATGGTAGCTACTATTTATCTACAAAGAAGAAGTGGGAGATGCGTACAAATGATTTCTCACCTTCCTCATGTAATTGATCACCTTACAAGCTGCTGCCAGGTGCTTGGGAGCATTACAAGCATTTTTCACACGGCAACTCTCATAATAATTCATTAACGTCGAGACAAGGGACCGCAACAAAGGAGAACAGTAAAAAAGTACTGAGCTGCCTGCAAAAAGAACAAAAATATGTTTGAAAACACTGTGACAAAGGATGACAATGGCATGTGGACAAGGCATTCAGGGTGGTTAAAAAAAAAAAAAAAAAAAAAAAAATCAAGAGTCAGTTTCTGTGATACGCTACACTCAAATGATTTTCACAACACAATATTCCTTCTTCCAGTTCCTTTAGATTTGGCTTCATGCCATACAAAGGTTGTTTGGAAATTATTTTTTTTTGTTTTTAAATCATTTTCACCCAAGCAAGACAATAAAGACACAAAGACATTGAAGGGGGGGGGGTTAATAGAGTATCAATGAATATAAGAAAAAAACAAAACATTATTATGAAGGAAGAATAGTAAAAGAAAAGGAATTAAGGTGACACAAGATAATGATTTGACATTGAATTTAAATTCTTTGGAAAGTAAGAAGCCAGAAGAGAATTCCACAAGTGAGAAGTGCAAGAGAAGAAACTCTTAGCATAGAACTTACAGTTACATCTAATTATTTCAGCTGTAAAATGAGGATACCTTGCTGCTAATCTAGTACTGCATTCAAATTCATAGAGTTTAGGTACCATATGGGAAAGTTCATCAGAGCAATTACCATGAAAGTATTCAGAGAAAAGACACTATGGCAATGGAAAAATGACTGATGTCAGATCAGGACCATTGACTGATTCTTCAGATTTTATCAAGGATCTCTAAATATAAAGCACCACCAGACCATATGTAGCAGCAATATTCAAGAATCTTACGATGAAAAAGTGTTCTTTGATTTCTCTTTGAAACAACCTAAAATTCTCAATAACAAGAATTCTAATAATGTTGAATTTATTCTCTTTCCTACCTTTAAATTTTTTGCAACTAAGTGTTTAGCGATTTGAATAAATGGAAATTTGAACCTGTTAAAGCCAGTGAATAGGAATATGGCAGTAAACTGTCTTAACCTAATGAGTACATTTTCAGTTATATTTATTTTACCAGTTATGAGCCTGCTGTCATTATAAACAATGAGACATTTACTGCTGTCCAAATTTGACAATTTTTAACTCATCTTTTTTTTTTCTCTTGTTCAAGTTTTTGACAATAAAAATGGCTCCGGTTGTCGAGACCTATTCTAAGAACTCATAACAGAAAATATGCCATATTTCCCTGACAGCAGTAGCAGAGCTAGAGGAGGTGGAAGCGGGGGGAGGGTCTGCACCATGTGACACTTTTATGGGAGCAGCAATTTTGCACCTTCTGTATAAGCCTGTATAGAAAAACAAGAAAATTTACTTTGTAGAAAGTTGCACTTTTCATTTTAGAAATAAAGATTTTCTATATTTTATTACTTTTTTCTTCCATATGTTGATTTTGCTTTTTGTTTAACTGTTACATTTGAAGTTTGCGTATGTTTGATGAGTATTTAAAGAATACTAGTATATTTGAGTATGTGAAAGCAACATTATAATGCTACACAGGATAGTTAATAAATATATTGAGAGGGAAGGGTGAGGGGGGGTCAGCAAACTCAAGGATCTGCCATGGCCAGCACACACTCTAGTTACATCCTTGCCTAGAAGCTCACCAAGAAATTATAGGAATTTGGTAGTTATAGAGAAGTGAAGCTTGAACTAAATTTTTTTTTGTTTCTATTGTTAGTCCGCCCCCAATACAAGGCCCAATCACAACTCAAAGTTGAGGGTTACTGAGTGAGATTGTAAGGAAAGTGGAAGAGAATATTATGGGAACAAGTAGGATAAATACCAGTTGAAAAGATCCAGATTGTAATTGTCAAGGAAGCATTCCCTTGGGAGTTTGTTCCACAAACTAACCAGTTATTTGGAAGAAGCCGTCTCAGTGGAACTTGCTTGGTAGTTTATCCAGACACCTAAATTCTTTCAGCAAAGAATAAAATAATTACTCTCACAGAGGATGTTTCTCATTATTAATAATGCCAATGATGTTCTTAACCAATATTAACTATTAGTACAAGTAATGTCACATTTCCTGAAGAGAGAATGAAAGCTTGTACACAGGCTTTTGACTAAAGGTAGTTGAAGTATATGGCACTGAGACGAAAGATCATTTTTTTTTCTTAATCAATTCGCCCCAAGCAAGGTGATAATGCCAGTAAGATGCAAAGAGGTACTGGAAGTGTAAGAGAAGGAAAAGCCTTTAGAAGGAACAAGAAACAAGGGATAAACCTCTACTCCTGTTCAAAAGAATGGGGAGAAGTGTGAACTGGATGACAGGTGAACCTATCTACCCCAAAATAAATAAATAAATAACATTTCAGAGTTCAGGTGGAGATGTTAGAAGTATAGAGTTGAAGTAGACTTTAGAAGGAACCAGAAGCACAATCCTAAACAGGAAACAAGGGATAAACATTTACTCATGTTGAACATGAGTAAATGAGTAAGGCTGGGAAGGAGTGTGAACCTGCCAAAATTTTGAAGGCTGATTTACAAGAAAAAAAAAAAAGAAAAAAAAAAGAAAAAGCCCTGCTCATTTTGAAGAATGGTGCATCCTATTCTGATTTAAGCCAACTTGCCGAGTGAGATAATAACTTATTTACTGCTGGTACCAGTGGGTGGCATTCAAGAATGGATAAAAGGCCAGAATTTGAAAAGCTAACTTTCAAAATAGACAAGCCCATTCCACTTGGAAAACTAGCACAACACAGTGTTTGGGTCCATTTAATTTTGTCTCAGACAAGGCACTCCAAAGGTCTTGCATCAAGCAGTTGTATGCTTTTGTCTTAGGTCTGATTCCTCCTTCCTTGCTGTCCAATTGAATATACCAACTGCATCCTCTGCAGAGAGATAACCATTCTCAAACGGGGGAGACCTCCTGGATGGATATTTAAAGACTCCAGTTCAAACTGAACCAAAGTCTACCTTTTTGACACAAGTGTAAAAAATCTTGGTCTAATTATTAATTCATTGTGATTTTTGTCTTATAAAACTTATATTCAAGATTAAATCACCCAACAAGTTTTGATATGACATTACATTAACAAACTTCTTCCTTGCTTGAAGTAACTGGACTGTTCTGGTCTCACAAGACTTGTACATATTTTTATAATAGAGACAGAGACTATAGGGCTTCAAATGATCTTAGAGAAGACTTTAACCCTTCAAAAATCAAATGTTAACCATTTCAATTTGAATACTTTAAGGTATTAATTAAAAAGTTCACTTTACTGAACTGGACAACCATTCACAGAGATTCAGACATTGACATGCAACCCAAGACATATGGAGGGGGCAGATCAGGTGATATGCTGTGTAGTGACCCTATGGCCACACCCAGTCATGGGATTGATGATGATAATAAATACTTTAAAATGTTGAACAAAGAAGCAAGCTCCATGAATTTAGGTCATTATCCCTCAACTCTATTCCATTCCTCCTCCACTACACCATTTTATTGATTGATTGATTTATTTGTATAACGGCATATGGGTCATTTAATGATGAAATTTAATTTTCTCCGGAGATTTGAAGTAATAAAAATATCATATATGTTATTCTGCTTTCATATGGTAGATGACTGGTTGGTTGATTGATTGATTTTGTTTAATGACACATCAACCTTTATGGCTTATTTAATGTCGAAATCTAAATATTTCGAATACAATTTTATAGCTTCAGTTAGATATATTATGAATGCAATTGTATACCTTCAACTACAGATTAAATGTATTGCTGGACATTTTACTTTAAAAAACTTTTGGTAATTAAGTTCTTAGAATTTGGTAATTAATATGTATCTTTGGTAATTTTTTTCTATATAAAAATGTATCATTGGTAACAAAAGTGTATTTTTATACTTTCATAGTCTTGTTTTTGTTTTTTTTCCCATAGCTAGGACCCTAACAGGTGCTACCACCCTGGGTCAGAGTGGACCTGAGATCAACAGCAGTTGAGGTGGTTTCATGCTCCTTAAAATCTCCAATCTCCCAATCAGAGACCTTGCTGCCGGATGTAGTCACTTTATTCATACAGCAGCAAATATTCACAATTTTGAGATAAAAAAAAAAAAAAAAAAAATGAAATTTAGCACATGGAAATATAATGCAAAAGTTCAGAGTAAGCATCTCAATTAGCACTGAGTGCAATGGAGAGTCACAATCTGGAAGATTGATCCCCAATACCCAAACATTTTTTCCAGGATTCCACCCAAAATGTGGGTGTCGCAGCATAACATAAATTTGCTCTTCATTCAAGTCTTTTGACTCTTTTCATCAATATGACAGAGCACGCTGCTTCCTCTCATTGTAAGCAATTATATCCAGCAACGGTATACACACACATACACACAAACAACAAATCAAAGAAAATTTTACTCACTTTTTGCAAAATTGTCAAGAATATCCCACAAGACTGGATTGTCTTCAAATTTTTTCCAGACCCACAAATCTCTGGAAGACAAAAGTAATCATTAACAGATAATTTATCAAAGTTTAACAACTATCTGATCAATGTAAAAGTTCTTGCCTGATTTTCATTGTTAATATAAAAATGACTGCAACTTGACTGATGATGATGATGATGATGATGATGTTTGTTTGTTTTGGTGGTGGTTTCTGGTGTGTTTTACATTAAAAGCTTTCATTATTCACTTGCAAGACAGACTTTGTTGAATGTTAATGTTTTGTTCACAAATGAATACCTTAAAGATGGAGGATGACAAGTTGCATTTTCACCATATTATACTCTATGAATTTTGGAAAGATGTAAGTGTCGGAACTGCGACAAAGAATATTCAGAAGTTTAATTTGGATTGTGCTCCAGTTCTTATTATTCTGCACACAATGTCAGGATATCCAAAGTTTATCATGCAGAGAGAATGCAAACTTATGTTATGAAATTTTATATTTATATTGCAAAAGATTGCGTCTGATTTTCATTATTAATATAAAATGACTGCAACTTGACATTGATGTTTGTTTTCGTGTTGCTTCCTGCTGTGTTCGAGATTGAAACCTTGCATCATTCAGTTGTGAGACTACCACTCGTCCCTTCAGCCCCTCAATCTCCGGCGTCTTCCTCTTTGGGTTGAGGCACCCACTCGGTCTGAACCGATCTCGGGGGTAGCTGGCTGCACGCTCCCTGACTACCCATAGATTGTTCGACCGGTCACTGGCCAAGTTCCGCCTGCTGCCCACGTTGTGTTAGTTTTTAGATCCAGTAAGTGGGGTGTTGTCCATACGTTCACGGTTGATTGGGGATGTAGGCACGGTTGTGAGGGTGGGCGGCAGGAAAATTAGAATGTGGCAAACAAGGAAATAATATCTGCAGAAGCCGAACAACAATGGGTAAAATATTGATGTCTTTTATATAAGAAAACAACAACAGTAGAAAGAGTTTACAGAAAGGATAGAAAAGCAATTAACATAAGAACAGAGGATCACTCCTCTACCAATTATACCAACAGAGAGAGGTGTGTGTTCCAAATCAACTTGGGAGGATATGTGACTCGTAATTCCAGCCCTACGTGGAAGTGTAGCTTTTCAGTTGGTTGTCGTAAGTGACAAACGTTAAGTTTCAGTGACTTTTCAATGCGACTGCTACAACGACGACGATATTTCTTGAAGTCCTTATCTCTGACTCACCACTGGACTGACTCACTGCAACGACAGTCTCTCTCTCTCTCTCTCTCTCAACGTCACTCTCGTCTAACGCCCAAGTCTCCCCAACTCAGCAAAACTCGCGTTTATATAGCAAACCAAAGATTATAAGCCAGGTTGTTCACGCGCTTAACACGAGTGTCGCCATAAGCAAAGTTTAAATTCAGATCTATTTCAAATCTCTTAGTGGATAAAATTAATTAGTTCAGTGTTCATTTCAATTGTCTTTTTCGATGACCAAATTCAGCGGATACAACTTATGTTTAGATCAGATTTCGTTAGCGGTAAACATACACTGATCTTACCTCCCCGATCCAATTTACTTCAATATATTTTTATCAAAAATATTATTTTCGTCTATTTTTCTTTTTTTTTAATGACCCAAATTAAACATTGCCTCTTGCCCTTTTGCATTTGTTTATAAACAAGTCCTCGCCAACCCGATTTGAAATTTATTCTTTATCCATCAACCGTCTCAGGTTTCATATATCATTGTTCTAGATTCTTTCCTATTAATAGCGCTGAGACAGTTTGTAACTTTCACGGAAGATCGTGTTTTCCATCTTCAATCAATAAACGTTATATTTGTGTGTGTGCATTCATGTGCGTCAACCTCTCTCTGTTACAAGACAGACTTTGTTGAATGTTGATATTTTGTCAACAAATGAATTTTTTTTTTTAATCAGTTCACACAAAGCAAGGCAATAATGTCACTAAGATGCAAGAGGCTACTGGGAGCAAAAGAGAATGAGAAGACCATAGAAAGAAAATGGAAACTCAATCCAAAATAGGAGATAAGGAATAAACCTCTTCTCCTGTTCAAAAGATCTGGGAGGAGAGTGAACCGGACGATAGGCAAACTTATCTATTCCTATTAATGTCTTAAAGATGTAAATTTGCTCTTTCACTATATGATGCTCTATGAATCTTGGAAAGGATTAAGTGTCTGAACTGCAACAAAAAAAACATTCAGATGGTTTATTTAAATCACATTTCCAGCTCTTCAGATGGCCAAAAAGTGATTTGGCAAATTTTGCCAGTGTGGTTTTAACCTAAATGATCAACCATGCTTTGGGCAATCTTCTGACATTGACGAAGATGCTCTGCTTGTCATCATGGAGAATAAACTGAAGATTTCAATGGAAAAGATTGCTAAAAGTTTGAAAATCGATATCTCAACTGCCTTTTGCCATTTGAAGAAATTTGGGTTGAAGAAAAATGGACAATTTTGGCAAACCAAAAAGGTGTCATTTCCCTCCACGTACGGAAGATTGCATGTTGCAAAATAGACCTTGCATAAGCTTAACAAATTGAAACTTGTTCCCCAACTGCACCCACTGTACTCTCTTGACTTGGTTCCTCCAGATTTTCATTTGTTCCAGTCTAACAAACAATTTGAATGGCAAAAAAAAAATGACTGTACAGTCAGTCAAAAACTACCTCACAACTTTTCTTCCAACAAAAAACACAGAAGTTTCTATGAAAATGGTATCAACAAGGTTGTAGAATGATGAGAGACAGTTACTAAAAACAATGGAGACTATGTACTTGACTAATAAAATGTTGTCTGTGAGTATGCAAAATTTCATTTTTAATTTTCTAATTGAGCACAAACTTTTGCAATGATCTAATGTAAAATTGATCACCTGTATTAGACACCTCTATTTTAGCTTGTGACTAATCACTATCAACCTGACATGTGAGCGAGATCTGAAAATAAACTTGTTAGTGATTAATATTTAATAAAATGACAAAATATTTGATCAGATGACAAAATATTGCTTTCCCTTTTGTCTAAATTTCTAGGATAACGAGTTATTGCCATTTACATTATTCGCACTCAGACTAATGGCCTCATCTTTGTTGTTGTTATCACAATGTTTTGGCCATTTTGACCTCTGGCCTTCTTCAGGTGTCTCTTGATCTGGATAAGCTTCAGGGAATTTCGAGCTGAATGATTTATTTAATCTAGTACATTGTTCCTGTTCTGCTATTTATGCCTAAGGTTATCTCGTCTGGTTCTTATTTAGTACTTCTCAGTTATAGCTTGACCTGTTTCCACCAAGTCCAAGTCTATACTACCCAGCCTAGGTATTACTATGTCACCAAATTCGCAAATCAATACTTTAATCCATATGTCTGAAGAAGGTATAATGGTCCGAAACATTATGATAATGAAGATAAGCATATTAGTCTGATTGTAAAGAATGCAAATTTCTTCTTTGGTTCTGATGATATTAATAAACATTGAAATAAAAGAAAAGGTTAATCAGTCTTCAGGCCGTATGCTTTTTGGAGTCCTTTCAATTTAAAAGGACTCATGAGGATGAGGCAATGGAACTATTACAAGTTGTGCTGAAAAACTAACAAAATCAAAGATTTCAAATCCTAATTTTGAGGGTATGCATCTTACTTAGAAAACTGTGGCAACACAATCTTCCTACTTTCGCTCAATATGATCGTTGATATGAATATTCAATTAACAGAAATAAGACAATTAAATCAGGCCCTCTCCAACTGGAAAAATGATAACATAATCTATTCTACCAATTCTTTTAGCCTACATTTTTTTTTTTACAATAATGCACAAGGCCCAAGAGCCACTTGAGGTAGAGAGTTACAGAGTAAAAGTTAAGAGGCTATGTGGAGAAGATAATGGTTATCCCAGCTAAGCCAAATATCAAAAATCAATTAAGAAATAAAAAGGCCTAGTAAATATTTTAGTGTTTCTGATGATGGTGTGAATAAACATTGAAATGCTATTATGCATACTACAAACAGCTAAAAAAAAAAAAAAAAAAAAAAAAAAAAAAAAAAAAAACAACAACAACAAAAAAAACTGACCTTTCTACAGTAACTCTTATAAATTCTTCATCTGGCCAAGCTGGTCCATTATACAACATGTCGGGGGTCAGCTGTGAGACAAGAACATTGGCAATTTGTCGAGAGAGACTGGATGAGATGCGATCAGCTCCCGGAATGTACAAAGAAGAGTTGTCCCGGCTGTCAGTTCGAAATGGAATCCGTCTGTAACTACAGGTCCACAAGACATCCAGTAAGCTCTGACGATTGCGAGAAATTTGTTCCTAGATAAACAGAGGAGGTGGGGAGAAAAAGATAAAGATTAATTAATAACACACACTCAAACCATCAAAAAGTAACCAAATTATATTACTGAAAAAATATATTTATTAAAATGCAAATTCTTTACAATAAGGAATACTGATGAAAGCATTGATTTACTATTTAATTTTTTTAATATAAACTTAAACTACATTAAAATGTAAATAAGTAGTTAAAACTCATTACTGAATGGTGGTTACATAATTAACTATCCCTACCTAAACTCATGCACTTGAATTTCACATACATACATAGATACACATATATATATATATATATATATATATATATATATATATATATATATATATATATTTATATTTTAACTATTCTGCCTAAACTCTGAAATTTTATTTACTATTATTTTTTTAATCTTTTAATTTCTTCTCCCACCAACAGGAGGAGATAAGTTTGCCTATCATACGGTTAACACACAGAACTATCATAATGTCATTAACATGTCAAGTGGCATTAGAAAATTCCTTGATTTTTGCTTAAAAAATATTGTCTTTTTTCCCCATTTTCTGATTTTCAGGTTGGCTACGAACCCTGAATTCAGGAGCTGATGTCATACTGTCATTTGAAACATAACAATAAATAAAAAGATAAAGATATTCAATCAAATAAAACAGTAAAAGAAGCAATCTATAATGCATAAACGATTATTTTCATTACCTTAGAAAGAGGTGGTTGAAATGGTTTTGGTTTCAATCCCTGTCCAATGATGCCGGCATGAAATACTCTTGAATGGGATCGGGGTAGGGGCAATGACAAGCCCATCTCTTGGTTCTGGTCCAATAGTGAGACGTTCTTGTTGAGATCATTTTGCCAGTCAAGTGCAATATCCACCTTGGAGCCAAACAAAGCTGCATTTTCCTTAAAAAAAGAAGTTTGAAATTCCATGAAGAACCAAGTTAGAGGAAAAATAAAATAGAAATGAAAATAGATTTAGAATAAAAGGGAAAAATTCTACGCACTAAAATAACTTAAGAAGAATGTACAATAAGCTTGCTAACCATTGATCCATCGTGAGATGTTTTTGCTATTATAGTTATAATGTCAGACTAAGCTAAGTTTGGCACAATGCCACAAAAACTGGGTGCCTTATACATGTAAAGTCTACTGAAACTAGCTTGCAACTCTTGCATAATATCTGAATTGATTGATTTGTTTGTTGAATGGCATATCAACTTATGGATCATTTAATGCCAAAATTTAATTTTCTTGGGAGCTTGTAAGTAATAAAAATGTTATTCTGCTTTCACAATTGAATACATGGTAGATGATACTCAGCTTTTGTGCATATACATGTTTGTGTCGACATAATTTCTAGGAGGCAGTAATATGTGTGTTTTATGTTGCAGTTTTGTTGAAGTTTTATTTTGGAATACAGTTTAATATTTTTAAGAAATTGCAGAATATTATATGAATTAATGTTATGAAAGAGTTCTTTCATGTTGGTTGGTTGATTTTTAACAGTATATCAACCTCTATGGATTATTTAATGCCAAAATCTAAATCATTCGAACGTAATTGTATGTCTTCAATTACATATAAATAGTATTGCTGGTCATTTTTTCATATAAAAATGCTGGTATTTTTGTACTTTCATAGTGTTTTGTTGGAGTGTTCACTATTTGCCCAGCGCTGGGACCCTAATAAGTGATACCACCTCGGGTCAGGGTGGACCTGGGAACAGCAGCAATTAAGAGGTGGTTCACAATCCTAAAAACCTCCAATCTCCTGATCAAAGGCCTTGACTCCGGATATAGACAATATCTAGAAACCCTTTATAAAAGACTTAGATCTGTTGAACACAAGTGTACTGATATTGGCTCAACAATAAAGAAAGGAATAAAAAAAAAAAAAGAAAAAAGATTACTTACTGATGCCAAACATTCTTCAAGAAGGAACTGAACACACATACTTTGAGCAACCCGGACATTGCAGAAAATGTCGTAACAAGAATGGCACAAACGAATCAGCCGCAAAGATTTCATACCATCTGAAAAAAATAAATAAATAAATAAATAAAAGTCAATTTAAATTAGAACTGCTATCAACAATAATTTCTGATCACTGATAATAACTTTTGTTTTTTTAATACTGTTTTCTATAGCAATATTATTAGCAATGCTTTCACATTGCACATATAATGCTTGTTCCTGATCACAGACAATCCTTTACTTCATCAGGTTCAATGAAACTTTATAATAAAATCATTAGTGATGCTTTCATATTACAGATGTCATGATAACTGTTAATAAAGTCTGCTTTAATCTCTGACCACTGAAACTTATTTTTTTGCTTATTAAATGCACAACATACATACACAACTATATATTTCTTCTTGCGAGGATATGAGACACTCTGGTTTTACCCCTCTAAAATGGGTCACTTATGTAACTTTCTGCAATCAGGTTCTCCTGTGTGTACACATTCCAAGCTCCTTTGGGTTAACCTCTTCTTTATTTGTCTGGAACAGCAACTGACATCCTTTGAAGCCTAGTTCTGCAACTGACAGCTATGGATATCTTTCAAGTCAGCCTTCCGAAGCAAGTGTCTCTTTTGAATCATTGGTGTGATAGTGCAAATAGTATTGGTTCTAAAACACAATCATGATTACCATTCCATTGTTAATTACTTCCAAAATTTGCCATATGAATCCGAGCAAACATGCATTTATATATGTTACTTGTGATCTCATAGATGACAAAGATAAGTAGTACAATTACATTCCATAATGATACTGGATGATCTGGTTTGCTGGGCCAAATGAAGTTACATAATGGTAATTCAATAGTGCACCTCCAACCCACTAATTATACACCTCCCATATCTTTACAGTATCATCAATTTTTAGAAACTTATATTAAACTATTATCAAATTGATTCAACTGTACACCTTGCATGCTACACACAATGTTATTACATAGTTGCCTGGTGAATTAGTCTGACAATTGTGTGAAATTCAATTGCCTGTTCATATATTTATCTGAATTAAAAGAAGCTGTTGTTCATCAGTTGGCAGAAAATCACTGGATCAATTGTAATAGATAAACAGATTATAAGAGTGAGCTATAAAACAATGTAAGAAACAATAAATATTAAACAAATTTATTCTAAGTACTTTACTCTTAAATTGGCCATACTCTTCAAATAATCCATCAATAAGATGGATTATTTGAAACAACAAAAAATAAATTTAAGGAAGATTGGTGGATTTTTTTAGTGGCATTCTATGGGTTATTTAATGCCAAAATCTAAATATTTTGCTGACAATTTTAAGGCTTCAACTAAATATATTTTGAACGTAATTGTATACCTTCAACTACAGATAAAACGTATTGCTGCTTATTTTGATTTAAAATGTAATGTTGGCAATACTACTCTAAAAATGTATTGCTGGTATGTTTACTATAAAACGGTTTTTATACTGTCATGGTGTATGTTTTTGGTTGAGAGTTCACTATTTGCCCATAGCTGGGACCATAACAGCACATGGGGTCAGGGCAGATCTGGGAAGAACAGCAATTAAGTGGTGGTTCCATGTTCTTGAAAAACCTCCAATTTCCCAATCAGAGTCCTTACTGCTGGATGTAGTTTAGTGTCATACCCAGGATGAGCACCAAAAAAGCCATAATCTGCAGCAAAAGGACAAAATTAAGCCCCCAGTGTTTGTAAATCAATTCACCCCAAGTAAGGGAGCTACTAGGAGTGCAAGAGCATGAGAAAACTTTAGTAGGAACTGGAAACCCAATCCTAAACAGGAAACAAGGGATAAATCTCTCGTCCTGTTCAAAAGGAGTGTGAGATGCAAAGCCACTCAAGTTAAATGTTTACTGAATGTGTTTGCTTTATGGGCATAAAGGGAGGAAATAACAAGTGCGTATTATGAAGGTATGACTCTAAACTAGAAGAGGTAAAAGATCATAGTGATCAGGCAACAATCTTTTCAGCAGTCTGTTCTACAAAGTTACAGTTGGGGGGTGGGGGAGAAGAACTACCAACTTACCAATGGAATGAGGATAAGTTAACCCTGTGTATGAGGCATGATGGGTCCTAGCTGTGAAGGTCTTAACTGGTAGAATAATGGAAATGTTAATCAGAACATTTGCCATGGAAATAACAATAGAGTAAGTGATAAGCTTGCAAGGTTTCATCTGAAGAAGAATGGTTGCAGCATGGAAAATAATTCATAGTTTACATTTTTCAAATTTACCAAGGTTGGAAAGTGACGACTGGACAGCTTGGATTTGGCAGTAATACTCCATTTTTGGTCTGATCTAATGCTTGTAAAGATAAAACATGATCAGAGGAATCAGCTATTTTCTGGAACAGAAACCAACCATTTTTCTAGCCTCTTTAACAATGGAATTTGTGTGTTTTCCACCTGATATCTTGGATTAATTTTTAACTCCCAATATATTTTAAAGACAAGTAACCTCATTAAGAGTACAACTGGAGAAAATTCAGGATCTGCATGGTGATGATGAAACAGTACTAGCTTTGTATTTGGTTCATTGTCTTATGTTGACTAGCATCCTTATCTTTATTGTTTTTATGTTTCTACTTACATACTTTTCATCTTTTCTCAAAAGGAGGTTTCAATTACTTGTCATGCAAGAATTGTTTTTATTTTTAGACTCATCCCTCGCTTTACAAAGACTAAAAGAAAAATGTTTTTAGCCACTGGCATAGATAATTGGGTCTAACAAGCACACAGAGAAGGCTGAAGAATATATCAGCCAAAACAACCAAAATGACTATAATAGTTCAAGAATACATGGAATCAGGAAAATAATTTAGGTAAAACAGAACTGACCAAAAGATGTTGGACAAAACATTGTGCTACGAACAAAGATGAAGACAATTTACTCTTTAGAATAATGAAATGATATAAAAACTTCAGACAATATAAAGATTTATCCAATGCAACACGTCAAAACGTGAATGAAAATCCATCTTGAAACTCTGGAAAACACTGAGACAGCTGTATAATTTGGAAACTAAAATATTCTGCTAAAAACAACAAGGAATATAGAATGTTAGTGACAAAAAACTGCTGTGCTGATTTGACATACCTGTGAGGTGAAGGATTCGGTAAAAGAGAGCTGTAAGAATTGAACAAGCTTTAGTGAGCAGGGCACTGCTGATGACAGGAGGTAGACCAACTGCAATAAGAAGTTTCAGACACATGGCACAAACCGAAAGGTCAGAGTGGTTCAAGTGTTGCAAGAAGGTTTCATAATGCTCATGAATACTAATACTCAGGTAGGACCTGGAAAACAAAAAAAAAAAAGAAAGAATGAGGTTACAGGTTCAAAGTGGAATTAGTGATAAACAAGACAAAAATGAGGCTATGACAACTGAATCTTTTTCACATTGTGTATTTCAAGCATACACAAACCGAGAAAACTGATGGCACAGGAAAAGGTTCAACTAAGATGGCCTAGGTGCATTGCTGCTCATCCACTTAAACATCTCACATACCATTTTGCTTAAACAAACCAATGCTCTATAATATCAAATGTTTTTTTAACATTAACAAAAGCAAATATTTGTACAAATGGATACTGTAGATTTTATAACTGCTTAATCCTTTAGCATTCAACCAGCGCAAATCAATCCTGTAAATATCGGCTCTATTCTGCCATAGTTTGTCCCAGGTATACTCTGCCATAATATATGATGATATTGAAAATAACACATTGGAATTCACACAAAGTTGATATTTACGGGGTGGTATTGAATACCGTAAGGTTAAATGTGATTAGCAAATATTGTATTTAAAAATAAAAATGTTATACGGCATAGAAAGAAATACAACAAGGAAACTACAACTAAAAAAAAAAAAAAAATACAAATGACAGCAAGTCGTTTCAAGACTCCAAGTTAATTCTCCACAGAGAATCGGCCTACAGAACAATAGCCTAGTGGATTAAAGCATTGGTTCACTGACATCGTGAGTTCAATCACTGGGCTGGGCAGTGTGTACTTGAATTCAGTGGAAAAGGGGCAAGCAGTAATTAAGTAGTACTAAAAATATGAACTAGATGAGATATCCCTAGCCATGGGCAGAGGAACGAGAAGAGTCTACCCCCCATAGATTAAATAAAAGATTCAGTTCAGAATTCCCAGTAGCTTACCCAGATTGATGAAGACTGGAGGGCACACCAGCTGAAATGTTGTCATAACAAAGATGAGGACAATTATCGGAATATAAATTTGGTAAATAAAAAGGTTACAGTTTTATAATAATAATAATAAAAGCATGTTCAATTTTTGAATCAACTTTTATTCCTGAATTAATATAATTAAACAGTGTTTAAATCTGTTAAAATATGAACCTTGAACATCTATACATCAACTTGCATGGTTATTCTAAAATCAGACATTATTTTCCAAACAACCCAATAAGTTAATTTTATTTCAATTTATTTCAGAATTTAACAAAGAGTACACTTTAATCATTAGGAAAGAGTAATATATTTTTGTGCAACTATTATAATCATATATTGGAACAGAAAAGGTTTAGTCTGAAATTTTCCAAACAGCCTAATAATTATCAACTTTAATTTCTCATTAATAAATATAAGAAGCCTCAATCTATTTAGTGTGGATGGTGCACCACATATTACATCTATAGCTGCATCTTTGGCAAGATAGTCATACCTTCCTTGCCATGCTTTGCTATTTAATCCATAGTGGGGAGGAAGATGAATTCATGCCTTTTTTAAAAGTATTAGTGTGAAGTGAACAATACAGAATGAACTGGAGTTTGAACTTAGCTTAGTAATTTTATATTCCCAGCAGATAGCCATTACACCACCTGCACATCATTTCTCATTTCTTTTGTATGTGCCATATCTCTTTAGGACATATGCAGCCATGGCTCTCCACAATTTCCTGTCCTTTATAGTTCTTAGTAAAGTGTTTTTTTTGGTATCTCTCCTAAACCCTGTTCTACAATCTATATACTCAACCTTGTTAGGTAGGTTATAGGCAACTTTCCTGTTTCTTGCTTTCAGTATGTCTTGTGAGTATCAACTTTTCTAAGCCTTCTTGCCTCATTATGTGCTCTAGAAATTTCAACTTTCTTGATGGTGCTAAGTATGTGTCCTTTTCGTTTCCATTTTCTCTAAAACTTTGTTGTTGCTCACATGTTCAGTCAATAGCATTCTCAGCATCCTTCTGTAGAACCACATTTCTGTTGCTTTAAGTCTTTTCTTCATCTTTAAGGAGATTATCCAGCATTCACTTCCATATGGTGGCATTGATATTACATAACAGTTCAATACTCTTTTCTTTTTTATTATCTAGTCTTTTTATGCCAACATTATGTTCAACTTCTTTAAGAAAAAATGCATCATTTAGTTTATAAATTTGTTAGTCATCAATTACTATTTGACAAAGTCTGACTCCCTACTTTTCATATTGTTCATTTATAAGAATCTGTATTATAAAAGAAAAGCTGAATCTCTATCACACACTGCTTGTGCATGTCACTTTGCATGTGTCGGTCTTTGTTTTTCAAGAGAGATTCTTGTGACATTTAATAAACACACACAAATGCATAAAATTTGACACTGTACTCATACATTTCTCTCCTACTCAGTCTGGACAACTCCTAACCTGGGCTGAGAAAAAAATGTCAGATGATTAGGGGGGAAAAAAAAATAAAAAAACAGATAGTGGATTTTAATGAATTGTTTTAGATTATTTTATAGTAAATAGAATTATTTTTTACAGCTTTAAAAAAAACAAAATAAAATAAAAATTTATAGAAATATTTTAGGTCTGTCATTGAATTGAATTATACATAATATACACACACACACAAGTTGAATGAAATTATAATAGACAACTGTGTCATGAGGACTAATTTCCCCTTTTGTCTGTCAAAAACGCATAAAAGGAAAAGAGTACAAGCCAAGATGTATGCATCTGAGGTCATTTTTATGATTCTTCTTGTATTTAATCGGAATATGTTTTTAACGAATAGAGAATTTTAAATGGGCAAACAATTTAGATCTAAATAGTGTTCATCTTGCTGTCAGCAAAGAGGTGTGTACAAAAATAGTTTTATAAAGGAATTTAATCAATAAAACAATTTTAGTATTGAAAAAGTCATTGTTTCTGAGAAAAAAATATGCCAAACTGATGCTGAACAATATTTTATTTCAAACTGATTTTTTTGCTGTGCAACAAAGGAGAAAAACGTCTTTACCTGCAAAATCCTGATCCCTGCCGAGGAAGATTCTTTTCCCACTGAATCAAATGCAATAAATTCCGAAGCAGATGTAAACGATTTATTTCTCGTTGACTTTTGGTTTGTAAAGAATCGACCAAGTGAGACATGGTCAATTGTAAAATGTTCACATCGCCCAATTCCACTTCTTTTTGCACTTGAAGAAATCTGGTCAACTGATTTTGGGGAGGGAAAGAGAAAAAAAGATTTTTAAAAGCCAAATTTAACATAAACCATTTAAAAGACTGACATTATTACTGCTTTTTATCTCATTTGAACTAAGTGAATGAAACAAACTCCAAGGGTGACAAACATATAGCCTAAAAGATTCTGATAAAAACTAATATAGAATGGATCAAAGGTCAGTCATTAAACAAATTGTATAATTTTTATTTGCACATGAACTATTATCCACAACTTTTTTGTTGTTGTTCACACAACATTTCAACTGTTGTGCCATTCAGCCTTCATCAGGTGTATGTCAACCCAGTAACATACAGGGAATTCCAAACTGAACCCTTTATTTAATCCATGAGGATAGACTGTCCTCATTTTACTGCCCATGTCTAGGAATATCTTGTCTAGTGCTTATTTTGCTCAGTAACTGCTAGGTCATTCCCAACAAGTTCAAGTACAGGCTCAGGGATTGAACTCACAATTATTATGTCACCAAATTCACGAACCAATATTTTAATCCACTAGCCTAGAGGGCACAATGGCTGAAATGTTTTGATAACAACCACCAAGACAAAAACTATAGTCCACCTGTAAATAGAGTAAATAATAACTCCTCCTCCCAGAAAATCTGAATGTGTAGTTTTTATATTTATTTACTCAATGAAATAATGTTTTTATCTACAAAAATATATCGTCATAAAATTTTACTAGTCTAATTATGTAAAATGATGTCATGCAAATGTCCTTTAAGTGCATGTTATTTTCCATTTGAGACCTGATTTTTGATCTACTCTATATCAAGAATTAGAAAAATTATCTTATACAAAGCATCAATTGAAACTAAATGTTCATTTTGTCTTGGAGCAGACTCCAAAATTAAAGCATCATACAGGATAAATACATATTTCCATACTATATTAGTTATTTTTTGTTTTGTTTAACTATTGTTCACCTTATACTAAGCCCAAGAGCCACTCAAGTAGAGAGAGCAAGAGATTCGTATTATGAGAATATATAGGATAAATAATGGTCGAAGGAGTTAAAAATGCAATGATTGGGAAGCATCCTCTTGAACATCTAATCAACAAAGCAACAGTTCTGGGAAAGAAACCGTCTGAGTGGGAACTTTATCCTTACCAATGGAATATAAAGGAAATGAAGATGAATCATCTCAGTGTATGTGGCTTGGTGGGTCTTAGATGTGATGGTTTGGACTGGTGGAACTGAGGAATGTAGTTCGCCTGAACATCTACCAGGAGGTCAGCGATAAAGTTGTGAGATGCTAGTAATGTTTTGTCTGTGAGAAAAGGGATTGTCAGGTGGAAAACAATCTATAAACCACAAGGTTGTGCAAATGCTTTTGACTTCTGTCAAGACTGGAAAGTGAGGATTGAGCAGCACTAGGACATATATGGCAGCAATATTCTATTTTTGGTCTGATCTGGCTCTTGTAAAGATAGAGTATGGCAACAGGAGTCAGACACTTTCTGAAGCAGTAAAAAGAATCAACTATTTTTTTGTAACATCTCTCGTGAAGGATTATATATACAAGTTCCACTTGTGAGCTGGAGTCTCAATAGAAATTCAAGGCACGTAGCCCCACTGAGAGCATAACCAGGAGTTTAGAGATGCTAAGGTGGGGCATGGACCAAAAAAAGGTTGGGAACCACTGTACTACAACCTCTTTCGCAAACATGCAAAAATGCAAGAAGAAAGTTACACTTAGCTTTTCCTTCAAACTGCCATTTTAGGAACAAACTCTCACATTCTTTAAGTAAGGATCAATCACCATCTTTCTGTGTTATCCTCATAATCTTCATTTCCAACCACCTTCTCTTCCATTCATATTATATATCTCGTTCAGCATTATTATTTTGTTTACTATAATCCTCTACCTTGTATGGCTCTCATGCCTTGTATTGGGCATATGTTTGGTTGTCATGGTTTTAGGCATGCATACAAATATATTTTTATTAATTCCTTTTTTTTCTGTCTTTCTCAAAAAAAATTTACAAATAGGATTTAAAAAATATAAAAACAAAAAAAAGGTAGCAAGTTAAAAATTGATTCTGAGCATCAACAACAAAGCTGTTGAGAAAACAAAATAAGAAACTTACTTGTGTAGTATTTTTGGCTTCTGTCACTAAAACTCCCAAAATTTCAGAAGCCCCTTTGCCAGGACCATATAAGGCAATGCAGGTCAAGAATTTCAGGTACCATTCAGATCTAGTAAACAAAGAAAGAGCAAGGTGAGAAACAAGTCATTTAGAAAATGGGGGATGGGACGAGATCCTTTCTTCTTTCATTTCACAGTATCTGCGTCCAGACTTAACAGAAGTAAAACCATGAAAACAGAAATTGTTTTTTCTGCATGGAATCCAGAAACGGAAAATTTTCATGTTCATTTCCCAACTCCTGTGCACGTCATCCTTTATCGTATCAGTCAACACAATACAACCATTTTAATCATCATCAGAGCTGTTTCAACCTCAAAAACCCACTATAACTCAATGTGACTTCACATCTTCAGTATGGCTGCTTGTTTCCGAGCATGCCTATCTGCTCAGACCCACTTTTGTTTCTTCAACACCCAAAAAGCCAACCTGTAGTTTACACTGCAACTATGTTGAGCAGATCTTAGTTACAGTTAAAGTCTGTGTGCCACTGGGGTTGTATACTTCATTGAATTAACAGATGTCTGTCTGCCAGACATGGCTAGAAAGTTTGGTCTAGCCTGATATTTAACCCATAGCTCATGAGAGAAGAGATGGATTTATACTTTATCTAAGAGTATTTGTACAAAAGTGAATGTAACAATCTTCACTTGGCCGGCTGATTTCTCATCCCAAGCCTCTTACCATTGCACCACCTGCACATCTCAAGATGTGAAGAAATTTAAAGATGGAGATTGTTTGATACAAATAGAATTAAAATAAAATAAAAAAAAAAAAAAATGAAATAAAATAGAAAAAAAAAAACAAAAAAAAACTAACTCCTAAGGCAGTGTTTCTCAAAAGATACGATACATCTCATAGGTGCAACGGAAGAGGATTAGCTGGTGAAGTGGAATTATTGAAAGACAATGAAAGATTTAAAAACAGTTTAAAAAAAAATTCAAATGCCAAAAATAAATAGGATTTCAAAGTTTAAAATATTATTATGGATTACTTGTAATTGCATGCATGAGTCTCTGTATAAATAGTTATAAATTATTACTGACCAATTTTATCATTTCCATATTTTTGTATTATATCACGTATTAAGAATATAGTAACTAGAGTCTGTGAATTGGAGGATTATATATATTATATGTCCTGACTTCGAATCCACGGTTATCGCCATTTCAATTTCTTTCTTTTTCTTTTTTTTTTTTAATGTATTTTTTTATCACATAAAATTTGGTGAGGTGTTAGCAAATTTTTATTCCGAAAATACAGCCATCAGTAAAATAGTTTGGAAATCAGTGGCCTAAGGTAAAAAGACTTACCTTTGACCCGTACTCTGTAGGTAATCCCCTGTTAAACTTGCCTGACATTTGGACAAAGATGCCAATAGTGGCACCTCAATGACTTTGTTGTCTTGTTTCAAATAAACAAATTTCTGAAGTTCTGAGCACAAATGATTCTAAAAAAGAAAATCAGAAAAAAATAAAGTTTCATCATATTCTAAAAAGGTAAAAAAAAAAAAAAAAAGATTTAATAGATAAAGCATTTTCTTTTTGTTTTTTCATCTTTATTCCAGGTCATTTGATTGTTGTCATTGATAGATTGTTTTTTTTTTTGTATGGATTTTATTCCTTTAAAACTGGTTCAAAGTTCTCTTATCTACCATCCATGTTTTTTATTTACTTTTGATGAGCTGTGATCAAATATAGATCAGAGTTCAATAGAATGATAAGATAAAGAACAAATAGGAAATGTTTATCAATCTAACATGTTTCACTTTTATTAAAGCTTCATCAGATACTGAGACACAGAGAAAAAGAAACCCTGGTATTTTTTACTTTTGTGCTGTTTGATTTCCATTGGACAATCATGTATCACATGCATTCCACTCTTTTAAACTAACGGTAGTATAATTTGTGGCATTCCAAATTCAAAGAGACATACTGAATCCATACTACATTCATCTGAAGTTTCAAGAAAATAATGGATTCCAAGCCTACCTGAAAAACCATAAATATTACTATGTCTATGTAAGTGTATAAAAAAATTTTAGTTTTTCTGTGGGATGATAATGTATATTCATGTGTGTGTGTGTGTGTGTGTGTGTGTGTGAAGTATACATTATATTTGTTGGGTTTTTGTATGTTGATTTGGGAATGTTTTTATGTACATACTGTTTGTTTTAGATAAACATATATTAGATTCTTTAACAATAGATTTAAAAAAGGTTGGTGATGTAATATAATGTTTTTGATGTGTGTTTCTAAAAAGGTTAGTGCATCACAAACTTTATAGTAACACTTTTCATTAATTTTTGGAAGATAATAAGGATTTTTACTGGTACAAGTTATACTAATTAACCCATACCTGAGGAGAGAAGGAAAGGTAGATTCACACCTTTGCTAACAGTATTTACATGTAAGTGAATATAATGAACCTGACTGTAACTGATTTCTATTGTCAAGCTCGTATCCATTACACCACCCACACATCTAAGTTTACTGCATCTAGTATTCCCAAGTGGTCTCCCATCTAGGTAATGACCAGGTTTGATGTTGCTTAACTCCGGTGATCATATGAGAACTGGTGTTTCAATGTGATATGGCCATAAGTCTCGTCTATTTGGGATTCAGATAATTATGCATATATGTGTCACAGCTGTTTGAGGTTTCCTACAGACCCACTGAACTTAAATAAAGTCAATTCAGGTTTCCTATGGTAAAAATTTTCTTTCCCAAGTGAAAATCATCACAAAAATAGCAAAAGTCATTTTGTCACAGCTTATTTTCTCTCAAAATATGGGTTTTCATACTTTTTTAGGGGTAAAATATTGAAAAATGACTGTTTTATCATCACCTAAACGAATATCAAGGAAACTTTTGATCTGAACCCCATGAAACTAGGTATTTTCTGAAAGCAAAAGATATATTCTTTCATTTAAAAGTAAAATTAGCTGGTGTAAATGACTCAAAATTTTTTTCAGTGGGTAAAATGTGAAAAAATAGTGAAAATTTTGCATTTTTTTTTCTTGTTCTAAACAAATATTTCCCCATTAATGGAAATTAACCATTTTTTTTTTTTTTGAAAATCAGAAAGCCTAGATCATAAACTATTTCAGGCATAAAATTGAGAGTTTTGAAGGAAATCAACATTCCTAGGGGTTCAAAAATGCGACAAAATCCATTGTTAATTTTCAATTATGACTGCCAAGGGTTAAAAAATTGACACCTGGCCACGGAAATCTTTAGTAAAAGGCAAGAGATTTATCTGCAATTCCTAACCACCAGAAATCAAAAGTTGTTTTTTTTTCCCTAAAAATAGTGATAAGGGAAAATAAACCTAATTGACTTTGACGTCTAGGTCAAAGGCCAGCCAGCCAGCCAGCTAGCAATAAACAGACGGAAAACCTTAGAACAAGTTGTAATAAAACCCACCACTCCCAGATAAAAGCAAAGGGTGAATAAAAAAGGGTTCACAATTACTAGGGCTTCATATAACCTATATTTGAACAATGGCTTGATAAGTTTTGTTTTGTTTTTAACACCCCGTGACCCGGGTGATGACAACAACACTTAGCAGCCGACATTGTTTTTTTTTTCGCCGCATATCTTTTGTATTTCCCATCGCCGGTCCATTTAGCCTTTCTTTTTATTCAATGATGTTCATGCCAAATGAAAGAGAAAGGAATGAATTTTGAATGATGTTATTTTGAAGCGAAAATGAATATTTTTTCATTAAAAAAAGGGGATTTTTCTCAGAAAATTGTGCATAATTTCTTAATGCTAACCGCCGAGTGACATTTTCCACAGCCAAATCGAAGATTAATTACCAGTGAATAATTCCATGTGCAAAAAATAGCCGTCTGGATCCTATAAGGTCGCCCTAAAAGGGTCCAGAAGTTTACTAATTGATCGAAAACCTGTTGCGCATAATTGTATTTTTCACGGTCAGTTTCCATTATTTCATCTTGATATTATCATTTTCGGACAGCCAAGTCATCAAGGATTCAGGAAAACACTTTGACATAGGTTTTCTTTAAGAACTTTACATTCTATGAGGTGTTTAAAATGTTACTGACGAATGAGATTTTTTGCCGCATATTTCGTTTACGCGCCATGTTGGATTTTCCTATATGACAAAAACAAGGGTTTTAAACAGCTGTGGTGTATGTCTAGTAGACATTATGTTTGTTGGTTTTTTGTATGTTGATTTGGGAATGTTTTTGTTTTGTTTTTTTTACATACATACGGTTTGTTTTAGATAAACATATGTTAGATTCTTTAAGAATGAATTCAAAAAAGGTTGAAAATGTAATATAACTTTTTTTTGATGTATTTATAGTTGGTAATGTTATTATGATTAGTTTCTCAAAGTACTTTCTCCTTAAAGAATTTTGTTCTTTTTTTAATTAGAGTGGTGTTAGTAAAATCAAAATTAGGACCAGTTTAGTTCCTCTGTATTACGAGAGTATTTGAATGGTTGTCAAAATGAAAATCTCTTTTGTGTTCATAGATATGAACTTTTTAGATCATATGATGTCTCTCTAATATAAACTCTTTTACATTGTAAACAATTTATTTGATAAGTACTAGCATTCGAATTAGGGCTGAATTAATTTTTCTTCCTAATTAAATCTTTTATTATAATTATATTATTTATTTTTGTAAAAGTTTTCAAAGTTTAGGTAATTCTCCTAAAAATAAATTAGATATTGCAAGGACTATCTCCACCATTTTAATCAGGTTATATTTAGATTTACCGACTTCACAGCAGTTGTTAATCCAAGGAAAGTTTAATTTAAGCAAAATTATTTCCCTTACCTTAAAAAAAAAATTATGCAGGGGGCTGAAAAAGTAGGTATACAGTAAGTATTATACTAGTGTTACCAGTATTATAATAGTGGTTCTAGGATTCATTCAATTCTTTAAAATCATTTTTAATATTTTCATAATTTTTATTATAATACATTTATTATAATTTTTAATCAATAATAAATAATAATAAATATTTTGCAGGTAAAGAAGAGTAAGTGATGGAGACAAACAGTTCAAACATTTGTGAGATTGATATGTTTATTATCGATATGTTTGTCTAATCAATACAATAAGTTTTGGTTGCAGATTACCTGTATACCTATTTTTGTATATTAGTTCAAATACATAAAAGTTGTTATTTCAAGTTAGGACTCACAAATTTGTCAAAATATTTTCTAATTCCCTTTAGATATCATGTAAATATCAATTGATGTATGGTTTTTAAATTTCTGTAATACCTAAGCTAAAGTGAAACATTACAATAAAACATGAAACTCCATAAATGAAAAAGAGAAAAAAAATTGAGTGTTGCAATGAAAGACAAAACAAACACAAAATATTGAAACAAGATTAAAGTCTCCAGCAGCAGTGAAGCAGTTGTTTCTGTTAAGGGAAGCTAATTTCTTTCCCCTATAAAGGACAATAATACAAAATACAATTGAGTTACTTCCCTTGTCTGGAAGATGAGTGTGAAACTTCTGCATTCAACATGGTGACAAGCTGACACTCACATGGAATTCATGATTTCCATTCAAACAAATTCTTGCTGTTCTCAGACAGTAAATGAATAAAATTGTTTGTTAAAATACACTTGTCTTTGATTTTCATTCGTTTTTGTTATCCCCAACAACCTGAGGTATAACAGTTTCAGTGAGTAAATTAAGTGATTGATTAATTCATTCATTTTTAACAGCTTATCAACCCATTGCAGTTTATTTAAAGCCAGAAAATATTTTTTAGATTGTATGAATATATTGGGGGGAGATAATAATGATTTAGTGATACAAATCTTACTAGTTAACCCATAGCTAGGAGGAGAAGGTGGATTCATATCTTTTTCTAGGGGTATTTGTACATAAATGAACATAACAAACCTGATGGGAATTGAAACTTGGCTTTCTGATTACCCAAGCTTGCATCACCTGGTATTCCCAAGCAGTCACCAATCTAGGTACTGACCAGCTTTGACATTGCTTAACATCAGTGATCATTTGGGAACTGGTGTTTTAATATGATGTGGCAGTAAGCAGAATAAACTAACTGAGATAAGTCAGTACAGAAATAAAGCAAATATTTATTAGTGTGAACAAATATTTGTCAGTAAATTAATTTTTAATTGACAATTGTTCCACTAGTGGAGCCAATTTTAAGACCTTTGTTTTTTTTTTTTTTACTTTAATACCAGACAAGCATTAACTTTAATGCGATGTTAATTGATAACATAGATGGAAAAGACTAAAATACAATATGTGCTTATATATGGTAAAATGCAATTTATGACTTATCAGTTTATATTGATTTTTTTTGTCAAATTTTGCAACCATGTCCAGGCACCAAAAAGTTAAGCTACTATAAAATTTTGATTGATGGATTTGTTTTTTTTTTTACAGCTTTTCAACCTTTTGCAGGTTATTTAAAGCCAGAAAATATTTTTAAAGTGTATGAATTTTTTGAAAATAATGATTTAATGATACAAATCCTACTGATTAAGCCATAGTTGTGGGGGGAGAGAAGAATTTGATTCATATCTGTCCCAAGGGTATTTACACATTAGTGAATAAAATGAAACCAACTGAAATTGGAAGACAGCCTACAGAATTCCAACTCCAAGATGTTATCCATTACATACCCATGCATATCCAAGCTTACAGCACCTGATATTCCCAAACAGTCACCCATCTAGATACTGACCAAGCTTGATGTTGCTTTAATTTTGATGATTGTACAAGAACCGGTGTTTTAACATGATATGGCTGTAAGCCTACTACAAAAGGTACTTTGGATTTGGACATAAATACTAAACTAAAAAAAAATTGGGGTCTCTGCTAATAATTTTAATTCTTATATGAAGTTTAAACTTTCAAAAATCACATTTGTGTCCATAAAGTCTACCTCATAAAACGTAAACTTTACATACCTCAATGGATTTATTTAACCTATACATGCTATACAATAGTGAATATGTTAATATGTAGAATGGTATTGCAAAAAAAATTTTTGTATGTACACCTTTGAATATCTATGTAAATGTGGATGTATATATAATATTTGCATATGGGGATATGTGATTATTGTGTATAAATTTTATTATATTTCAAACTACATATTAGATGTGTATATTTATATTTAAATTATATATGCTTGTATTTGGATGTAAGTAAGTATGTGTGCGTGTATATATATAACCTTAAAAATTAGGAGGTCAAATAGAATACGTGACCTTCATTTCAACCTCACGGTCACATCAGGCTAATTCTATCAACTGAGCATCCAATGCTTTATTTTAAAAAAAACACAAAAAACACAAAAAAAACTATACATTATTATTTTTCAAAAATAAATAAACAAATGCACAACGGTCAAACACGTAACATTGAGTGTAATAGAAAGGAGGGGGAGGAAGAAAAAGAAAAAGAAGAGTGAAGAGAATAAGAGAAAAGAAGAAAGCAAGTGTATCGTAAATGTATAAAGAAAAGAAGTAGATAAGAAAAGCATAAATTTAAGTTATTTTTGCGATATGTTTGCTTCCCATCTCATCCTTCCCTATATTTAGAAGACACCCTTTCTTAAATTTACATTACATTTGCTTTTCTTTTCTAATAATAAAAAGAAGGAAAAACTATTCCTAGTTGATGCGTTTTGTCTTATCAAAGCAAATGTAGGATTTATTTTGTCACAAAGTGGCATAATTTAACGTCTGGCAAAAAGTAAGTGAGTAATATTCAAGAAATATTTTTTTAATATTACTCACTTACTTTTGTCTTACAAGATTTTGAATTATGGCACTATGTCCTCCACACGCTTTGACTGACCTTTCAACCAACTGATGAATATTCATGAATGTTCTCAAATTTAAAAGCCTTGATAAATCAATGACATCCTTGCTCTTGCATATAAGCACGTACAACAAAATAAACCCTACATTTGCTTTGATAAAGTCCAACAAAGGACGAAATGTGTTGGCTAAGAAGAGTGTTTTCATTTGTCTATTTATTCATTTTGTTCCTTTGCATATACACTATCTGAAAATAATTTACATATGTGTGTGTGTATGTATCCTCTCCCCCGTAAAAAATGGACTGCTCCACTATCATGACAGTACAGTATAAATATCAATATTGCATCGTGCATGAAATTCAAAGTTGTGCAACTGGAAAGGTGTAAAAAAAAAAAAAAAAAAAAAAGTATATTTGTTATTAATATAAATGTAAATTAATTACATCAAGCTTAGTATGAAGATAACAAAAAACAAGAAAAACATTAGTCAATTGCTGAAACCTCCTGAACAATTAAGAAAAAGTTAATCTATGAAGCTCTGAGGTCAAGCTGGTGAATATAACATCAATCAGTTAAGTGAAAAATTTTATTTATATATACATACACAATTTACATCCATTATAATGTAAGAAAAATTAATAAGATACACCCACCAAAAGATATTTGCAAACTTGTTGAACTTCAGGGTGACAAGTTTCTTCTTCCATTGCATCTGATAAGAAAATGAAAGACAAATAAACAACAATTCTCTCTTGAACATTTAACATCTTTTCAGCATTCAAACAAAGATTATCCCAAAATTTGCAAACAATTTTCCCATAGCATCAACCCTGAAGCCTTTCATTATACATTGTCAAAGAATAACTCAGGTCTCAGGAAATTCTTCTTTGAAGGGGAAATTTAGAGGACTGATTTTTATAAGCAATTTAACTCCATAATGTTCGAAAAGAAGTCATTTGATAAAGATACAAAATTAATGTTTTTGCTCTGTTCCACCCATCAATTTTTCATCGAGCCCAAATATATTTCCTTTATGTTCATTTCCATTTATCCCCACCGCCAAGTTTGTCTTTGAAATCATTGAAAAATATAAACACTGAAATAGAGTAATTGATACAGATCTGAAAACAATATAGACTTATTCTCACCTTCAGAGTAGCGATTTTTCAAAATTTGCATATATGGGGACAGATAGGTAAAAAGTTATTTTAAAATGAAAATGCCTTTCCATTTTTTTTCATATATAACAAAGTTGGTTATGTACTTTGATCAATATTTAAAATTTATAGGTGATATTTTGTAGGGTTGTCTTTGTATTTCCACCACTTTATATAAGAAATTCTCACCAATAAATTCAACCTCCCCAATTCTGAAATGAAGCCAAATTTATCATTTTGATTCATTATCCAAAGACAAAATGTGAGATTCTACAACAAAACTGTTCTGATCAATTATTAAGCATCTACCAGACCTTATGTATTGTAGATTCAAAGAAGCAAAAACAAAAAGCTTGGTAGAATTTATATCTGGTTAAAAAGCTGTTAGATTACAGGACTTGGATTGATAATCCTGATTGAGAGATGATTACAAGATTTTTGTATTATAATTAAAATGAGATAACAAAATCGGACAATGGTAAAAACAAGTAAAGAAAACTTTAATAAGAAGATTCATAACAAAAATAAAAACAAAAGGTGGGGGAATGAAGGAGGAGGGTGAATAGTTTTTTTTATAAATTAACACCCATTAGGCTTTCCTCAAGCCACAACATTTTTCAGAATCAAAAAATATTGTTTTTCATCATTTTAGAAGTTGGGGTCCCATTCATAATACAAGTAGAGTGTCAAATCGATCTCTGACTTCTTGAAAAATTATTTGTACTTTGTTATTTACAAATATTGCTGGCTTCAATGATTGTAAAACACTTGCCCTCCCAAATTTTAAGAGGCAAAAAGCACACAAAAGCATGCTGGTATTTTTTTTCAGATGATAAAATAGGCCAGTTCTCAGTTTCATCTAACTCAGAACATTACATTCACTTGTCCAACCTTGTTTTTGTGTGACAACCCTAATAGTTGTTCTTAGTTTGTGAACATTTTGCTGTATTACTGTTGCTTTGCCTTATTACTGTTAATTTCCTTTGCATATGTTTTCTTGCTTTATATATTTTTTTTTTGGTTTGTTCTTTTCTTTTTTTATTGCTTATTGTAAATTTTGTCAATTCTGTTTGTTGGACAGTTCTCTTATTTTGCATTTGACTATAGCTACTCACTCCACAAATGTCAAGTTTGAAACTGTGTTTACATGATTGATAACAATGTACTATTACAAATTGGGAAAAAGTACATCATCGGTAGTTATCAGTGATGGAAGTAGTTTCAGACTTGACATTTGTAAATAAAAACAAAGCACAGATAACTCTTTAAGAAATCAGGGATGGATTCGACACAGTTTTATGAAAAGACTACCCCTTCCCAAATGATTAAAAAAAAAAAAAAATCAATAATTTTCAATTCTAACAAATGTAGCTTGAGGAATGGCCAATGAATGCTAGCCTATAAAAATTATCTTTTAATAAAAATCCATATTTTTTTAATTTTATTATATATACATTTTTGTTCTATTTTTTGTCATTTTTTTTTTTAGGTGAACAAATGCAGAGAACAGCTCACCTGATTGTGTTGGAGTGGCTGGTGAAGCCGAATCTAGAAGAAACCCAATCACCTGATAAGCACCGACATCACTTTTGATGATTAAATGGACAACAAGTTGCAGGAAGCTGTCAAAAAAAGAATGACATCAAAGAAGAAAATCAAAACAGTACAGAAGATATGAGAGAGAGAGAGAGAGAGAGAGAGAAAACATAAATAACTAAAAAGAGTAACAAATTCTAATTAGGAAAAAAAGGGAGAGAGAAAAAAAGAGAGAGAGAGAGAAAAAAGAGAGAGAGAGGGAGAGGAAAAAAGAGAGAAAAGGGGAGAGAGAGAAAAAAGGGGAGAGAGAGAGAAAAGGGGAGAGAGAGAGAAAAAGAGAGGAGAGAGAAAAAGAGAGGAGAGAGAAAAAGAGAGGAGAGAGAAAAAGAGAGGAGAGAGAAAAAGAGAGTGAAAAAGGGGAAAAAAAGGGGAAAAAAAGAAAAAAAAGAGGGAAGGAAAAGGGGGAAATGAAAAAAAAGGGCAGAAAAGAGAAAAGAAAAAAGTCCTTACTTGTCAAATTCAGATTTATTGGCCGATTTCCAAGGGACAAACTGGTCATGCAGTTTATTCAGCACTGAAGGAGATACTGAAAAGGGAAAAATTTGACAGTTAAAACAAAATCTGATGGTTCCTGTTAGTCAATTTCAGGAAACAAACAGAGAGAATTCAAAACAAGTTTGCTATCAAGGAAAGAAAAAGTAACTCACTCCAACACTGTAAATTGTAGAATTCAGAGTCCATTGTAGATTGTAGGTATACAAATTTCTCTCAATAGCTGATGACAGCAAACTCTGTGACTCTTCAAGTGAATCCTTAAATACACGTCAAACTAATGGATATTCAGCCCTCTGATGTTATTATAAAGATTGTGCATGCACATTTTTCACATTGCAAATGGCGGTCTACATGGAAACCATATGAAGCATTATGTTTGTTCAACATCAGGTAATTTTTCACAGTGACCTTTTTTAGCTGAAGTCATAAGAATAATGAAATCAACTGATGATCAACAAAGTTAAGCAAAATTGAGCCTGGTCAGTACCTAGATAGGTGACTACTTGGGAATACCAGGTGTTGCAAGCTTGAATGTATGGATGATGTAATAGATAATGGCTTGAGATTGGAAATTGGAGTCCCAATTCCAGTTGTGTTCATTATATTCACTTAAATATCCATGGGGACAGTATGAATCCACCTATTCTCAACTCGTCCCCTACAGCTTTAGGTTAATTTGTAGGATTTGCATTAGTAAATCTTTATTATCGTCAAAATCCTCTTACAATCTAAAAATATTTTCTGGCTTTAAATAACCTGCAAAAGGTTGATAAGCCATAAAAAAAAAACAAATCAATCAATTATACAAAGACACACATATACTAGAGGAGGTTGAAAATTCTTACAGCATTCATGAAACTCTTAAAAAATAAAATAAAATAAAATTTTGGTATATTGGTACATGTATGTATGTGTTCAAGGTAGATGAGGCTCAATATCCTTATTGCCAAAGATGCTGGATGGATGAGTGTTAGTCAATTTGTATTTGTTCAAAAGAGTAACAGACCAGAAGCTGCTGAAATATTTGAGATGAAACTGTGATAAGCAATAAAACCAGTCAAGCAATGATCGATTTGTGGGCATCCTATAGAACCCTTTACTTACATATTTTAATCAAATCTGTTGTGAGAATTTGCAGTAACATTGGGGACATGGAGGCCAACTGCAGGAGGAAAGGCACAGTGGGGAGGCTCATCATGTTGGCACCAGGCTGAAAACTATCCTGTTAACAAATAAAAAAAAGAAAAACAATCTTCATAATCATAAATTATAAAAGGCAACACTTGGATCGCATACAAATTTCTTAAATTTATACATTGGCTATACACTCTCAGTAATCTCTGTTACATATCTTAAAATTGTTATTCATGTACATCAGTAGTAGTCGGTTGGCTTTCATTTGCGATAAAGTGGCAACAGGTCACAAAGTCACAACACCTTTCAGTATTCTTGTTATTTTAATAATGCTGTGGAATTGGAGGGGGGGGGGCATTAAAGCAAAATACCACATTAAAGCAAAAATTTTCTAATCACTGATCTGTATAGTAAATATTCAAAAGCATACCAAAATTGTTTGTTAAAAGTTGGTTACTGGTTTGTAAACTGAACTTATGATGTAATAAAAATACCAAAAGGAGGTAACAAATAATTCCGCCACTAACATATCAAAGAACAAAGGAAAGTAAACTTGACCATTGAAAACTATATATGTATGTATAGATAGATAGATATGGAACATTAGTGTTTGAGCCTTTTATATTATACTCTTACTCTGTCCTGGACATTTAGTTCTACCTGGATTCTATCCTCTTGGGAATTCACACACATATATATATATATATATGGTTAGTGTTAGCAAAAAATTAAACAATCTTTTTTCATAATTAGAAAATTAAAAATATATATGACTAGAAACTAATAAAAATTCAGTGAATTTTTTTTTATGTCTAATGTTGAAGAACTATTTGAGTCTTAATGACTCTTCTCAAAATTATAGAAAATACCATTCATTGTTTGTGGAGATATTTATATCTTATCTAGGAACGTGAACCAGTTATTCATCTTCAGCTTCCTGTTTTTTGTTTGTTTTCTTTTTTACTTTATACAGGTCCTTTGGATGTCTCCTTTAAATATTTTTTTCCAGGTAGCATATGTTGAAGTACCTTTTTAATATTCAAAATCCTAACAGTTGATATTGTCCAGGTTGGGAACTCTGGTTTAATGTTTTCTGCAAATTTCTAATTCTTCTATTCTTTTCACTCAAATCTTCAGACAAGTTCCAGTATTCTAGTAAAGATGAGTACAACTCCCATTTTCATATTCCATCATGTCTTCTGTTCTCTGGTGAGAGTGAGAAGGAGAGTCATAACTTTTGTCAAAAGAATCAAGGAAGGAAAATTCAGTTTTTGGTTTTCATTCTGCTGCTCTACATAATATTTTTGTAAAAACAACACCGTGCCTTCAGAGATGATTTGAGGGCTTAAGCATCATTGCCATTACAACAGGAAAACAAAGAAAGACCTCCAGATAGCTCCAATCATAATTCCTTTAATGTTAGTGTGAAAATACTAAACAAGTCTTCTGCCTAATTTCTCGGTTTCTCTCTCATTATATATATACAGAGTCCACCCAAAAAATGTATAAACACTTCATGAAAGGAAAAACTTGTCTTTTGTAATTTTATCAAATTGTGATAACCCTGTTTACTGTATAACATTATTATTTTGACAGATAGCATTACTCTCATGGATGAAGCATCAACAAGAGATGTCAACAATATAGCGGACATATGTTTGCTGCCTGATGAATGTAAGATTATTTTAAAGTAGTATCTCAAATTTTACAATGTTGTTGAAATCTAAAGACAATGGAACCATGAGTTTGGAACACTACTGTTATTGTTCTATATACTTATGTATTGTCCAACACAGGAATTGAACTCACAACCACCAGGTAATTAAAACTAGTCCTTTGTTGCTGTGGGATTGGCCTACCACACCTCTTTTTTGTAATGGGTTCTACCTTGGAGGTCAATATAAGCACATGGTATTTCTTCCAGGGTGTAAACATTCATTTGCCTGGTGAATCCTTGACAGATCACTTCAACAAATGAGAAGTTTTATATATATGTATATATATATATATATATATATAAGAATTTTGCCATTATAAAATGTCATTTTTTAAAAATATCTTAGAAAATAAACTAAACCCAGGATATTCAATAAACATATATAATAGGTATGTGAAAAATTTAGAAACACGTTTGACAATTTCATGGATTCGTGATAAGTTTGAAACACATGTGACTGCATGTGATCTGCATAAAGAAAAATCTGGCAGACCTCCTACAGCAACAAGTGCTGCTTCCTCGGCTATGGTGTTGAAACAGTTCACATGTTTGCCACACATGTCTATATGGTCTGAATCAGGAGTAAGCAGTACAAGCATACGGTGCATTCTTAAAAAGAGTTAAGTGGAATGTTTACATCCCAAGACCATTACATGAAATTAATGAAGACGATCTGGAACAAAGAATCCAGTTTTGTGAGTGGTTTCAGCGCATGGTAAGTGAGAATGAAAATCATATGTGGTCTGATGAAGCACAATTTAAGCTATATGGAATACTGAACTGATATAATTGTGTTTACTGGGCACCAGAAAATAAATCTTCATGTGCATGTGGACAAATCAACCAATATACTGGGTGTCAATGTCTCAAGGTTTCATAGGACCGTTTTTCTTTGAATCTACTTTTACTGGTCAAACGTACCTAGACATGCTACACACCTCCATATTACCTGCCATAGATAAACATTATATAAAATATGAAATTTTTCTTTCTACAAGATGGCACAAGGCCACACTACCAGCAAGAATTATCTGAATAAGAATTTTCAAGGACTCTGGCTAGAATGAAGAGGTGCAGTTGAGTTCCCTCCACGTTCTCCTGATTTAACACCTGCAAACTTTTACCTATGGGGGGGGGAGCTAAAGGATGTTGTGTATTGCAGAAAACCAACTACATTGGCAGGCCTTAGACAAGAAATTAAGAATGCATGTGCAGCAATCCCACTGGACACTTTAGCCAATGTTGCCCAAGCAAGTAGTTCGCCGAACGAATAAATGTCTTAAAGCTAAAGGGACCATTTTGAGGATCATTTGTGATTGTAGAGTTCAAAGGTTAACTTTTATTAATCTCTTGATGCCTGAATAAATTTAGTATTACAATATCTATACAAGTTTTTCCTTTCCGGATGTGTGTATACATTTTTGGTAGACTCTGTATATATAATTTCTAAGGAATTAATGGATTTATTTTCAATTAAACTTTTTTATTACTTCAAACTTTATTTTTAGTGGGTACCTGTGTTTAAAACTGATGCTGTTTTTATTTTAAACAGTGTGTATTATGGCTATTGCTACTGGGACTGCAAAGAAAAACAAAGCATCTATTTCAAACATGAATATCCACTAAAAATAACTGAAGTTATATATATATATATATATATATATATATAAAATTATGTAACGGAGAAATCCAAAATTACCTCCTGAGTATAGGTTATTTCAACTAATGCTGAATGCATCAATCTTATTCAACTCAGATGGTGGACTGTATTCAATGTTGGAACTAGAGGTTTAAAAATTAATATCTGACAAAGACAGCAGTTGAAAAACTGAAAAAGAAAAATTACATGGTTCAGCCAAAAGCTTCTGTAAATTATCCAATACTAATATCGGACAGAATTTTTGGAAGTTAATAAATAAACATTTTCACAACAACCCTCTAAGTAAGATCTTCAATAGGAAAATGATCAAAATAAGGTATTCCTACACTAATAACATGTAAAAAATTATCAATTCTCATAATAACTATATTTATAGTAAATTCCATGGGAGTAACAATAAACCTGGTATGGAACCCCCCTGTAATTGTAGAAATAGTGAAAATTGTCCAGTTGAAGGAAAATGCAAATCTACTAAGGTGATATACCAAGCAACCATTTACCTAAAAGAAAATAAGTTAAATCAAAATGTTTACATTGGAATTTCCACAGGGGAATGGAAACAAAGACTTTACACCCATAGGCACTCTTTTACCAACCCAAAATTAAAATATCAGGCAGTTCTTTCCAAAAAATTTGGGGAATTGAAGGAGAAAGGTCTGAGCCTTAAGATTTACTGGAAAATTAAAGTTTTCGTTCATACTCCTCCACGTTCTTAGGAATAGGTATGACCTATGTTTAGAAGAAAAAATTAGAATAATAAAATTCAACAATCAAAACAAACTATTAAATCAAAGGAATGAATTAGTTTTAAATTGTCATCATAGAAGCAACCATTTACCCCTAGTACTTTTGATAATTCTTATCATTATCATCAGGCATGGATATTATTTTTCCTTTTTAGGTAAATTCAGGTAACTAGCATATTGACAAAACATCTAATCCATTTTACAATTTTTAAAAACAAGGATCACTTCATTCAATGAGTGGTTAGGTTAATGCTTTATTAAATCTGTTAGCAAAGTGAATTCACCATTAATTACATTAACTTTACTGATTTATTCTTTGTATGACTACTTCTTTTTAATATTAATTAGTGCTATTTTTTATATATATATATATATATATATATATATATATATATATATATATATATATATATATATATATCCCTTCCCCACTGCTGTAATGTAGCTTCCTTCTGAATATTATCATGGAAATTGTTCTAATGACTTTTCCTCTTTTTTTAACTAGACTTTATGAGTTTAAGTGCATTATTAGATTGGCAACTAGTTCCTCATTTTACAATAGAAATTGGCAGATGTAACCGCAAGTTCTATGCTAACAATTTCTCCTCTAGCACTTCTCGTTTGTAGAGCTCTCGCTTCCAAGTCAACTCTGATCTTCAAAAATTAAAATGCAATGTCAATCATTATCTTCTGTCTTAATTCCTGGTGTTTTATTATTCTCTCTCCTTAATAAAGTTTTCTTTTTTTTCTTATATTTTTTCACATTTAGTACCTCCTTGCATCTTAGTGGCTTTAATGCCTTGCTTGGAGGTGAAATGATTGAATGTTTATGGCTTCTCCCCAATTTCTTCTCTTTTTTTAATATGTCAGGTTTCTTTTACTTTTTTTTAAAAAAAAAAAAAAAAAAAAAAAAAAAAAAAAAAAATCGGTAAATTTTGTACCTCCAAATTTTGGGGGCTTTGTTTTTCTTCCCCTTATCTTTCAACTAAAGAGTCATAAGAGACAGACAGATTTTATACATTACTAATCACAGGTGCAAGGTTGAATTTAAAAAAAAAAAAAAAAATTGTAGCAAAAAAATTGAAAATAGCAGTTACCTGAAATAAATTCATCAGAGACTTGCGGATGTTGTGGCTGTGTTTGGAAGCTAAATGTCCAAGAATTCCAACTACCGAAGCCAATTTTGGAATTTTCTTATCAGAAGTCATCTGCATGCCACCAGAACGGTTGTTCCTATGAGCACAGAAATCTTTCAAACCACACATCAATACCCGTGTGATAATGGTGGTTGGAAAACAAGACCTAGACAAAGAAAGAAGATTAAAAATTGATATGGTCGAGTCAATTTTCAAAGAAAGTTTGTTGAGAGAGTTCCAATCATGAGTTATTTGATGCTTATTAAGCTCATCTGAGTATGGAACAAAACCAAATGAAAGAAAATTTCATTTGATTAATCTTTTTAGCGGCATATTAACCTCTATGAGTTATTTAATGTTGAAATCTAAATATTTTGAACACAACTTTATGTCTTCAACTACAGATAAAATTTATTGTTGGTCTTTCTACTATAAATATATATTGTTGATTGGTTGATTTTGTTTAGCAGCATATCAACCTCTATCAGTTATTTAATGTCAAAATCTAGATATTTTGAACAATTTTATAGCTTCAAATTAGTATATTTTGAATGCAATTGCATGTCTTCAACTAGAGATAAAATTTCTTGTCAGTCATTGTACTATAAATCGGTATTGTTGGTTTATTTTACAATAAATAGATATTGCTGGTAACTTTACTGTAAAACTTTATTTATACACCTTCATAGTGTTTTATTTTTTGGTTGGGTGTGTCACTATTTACCCATAGCTGGCAGCCTAACAGAACTATAAAGGAAGAAAATAAAAGGATGGCATAATAGAATCTTTCAAATGAAGACTGTCAGAAAAATCAGCATTACACAGCCAGGCTCTGATAGGCATTCAAACACTAAACTTCCTCATTATTAAAAGGGGTGAGCCGAAGAATACAATATCCTACAAATAAATTCAGTTGTTATTATTCATCACAACATTCATTTCAATAAAGAAAAAGAAATAAAATAAATGACATATAAAATGGTGAAGTCAAAATTTCTGCTTTTCTTACCCAATATGAGCCACCACCCAGTCAAAATGTGGAGAGTACTGTACAGAAGCTTCAAGTAAAGCATCAACACAGACATCAGGAGTGTTACCAACCCTAGAAGAGAAAAAACACAAAGAAATAGTAAATTCCATTTCACAAACAGCTGGTATCTTTAAATTTGATACCAATCATGAAACACAACCCCATTATAAATTGATATAAGTAAAATATAATACACAGGTTTTTTATATAAGACATGATACCACAGATAATATTTAAAGAAATACATAATAACAGTAATAATGATAATAATAATTCAAATGAATAACACCTATCAAAATATGTAAAATTATGACAATCTAACTTACTCCAAGGAAAGTAGAATTTTCTTTTTTTTTTTTCAAGAAAATGCTCAATAGAGATCTAGAATAACAATGGTCAATAAATTAATAAAAGTTTATCAAACCTTATCTTTTGACCGATTTCAAAGTTTTGGACACATAAATCTATTGAATTATTAACAGATATCACATTTATACTCTACATAATAAATGCAAATTATAGACTCAAAACAAATTTAAAATTTGTAATAAGCTAGAGTCTATTAAAAACTTGTCAAATCATTTAAACTCGGCATATTTGATAAACATATATAACATGTATATAAAAGATTGAGAAATAAGAGCCTCTTTTTCAAAAACACAAATGGGGAGTAAAAATGAAAGGAAAAACACCAATAGTAGAATGGAATGGAATAAAAAAAAGATGAAGAAGAGGAAGAAATTGTAATCTATGCATGGAGGAGGAGGAGGAGATGAAAATCAGAGAATTGAAGAAGTTGAATGGATTAATAAACAAAATAACTGAAATTTGTTTCAAATTGTCGGCACACTGACACATTCCTTTTCAAAAGCAACAACTATAAAGCTCAAAATCAACCAAGGGAAACAAAAGGCCATTTTGAAAATCACATTTGCATGAAACAGACTGAAACAGTCTGTTAATGTGTAAATAATCAAAATAAGTTATTTTTATGTCTATTAAAAAGTACTTTTAAAAGCATTTAAAATAGATTACACAATGAGAAAAAAACAGCAGTTAATTGCTGAAACCTCCCGAGGAATGGACCGAAAATTACCAAAAAGTTAATCAATGAAACTCTAGAGTTGAGGTGCAGATAAAGCTGAATATAACATCAAAGTCAAGTGATAAATTACATTGATTTTATATATATTTATATATATGGATAGATAGATACATAGAATAAAACAGACAGTTGGAAATAGTCCTTGCTGACACATTTTGTCATCCTAGGAAGTGATGATAAACAAAAGTGAAATGTTGTGTAGTTACACAAAATTCAAAAAGTTTTTAACAGACACTCCTGCGAAAGCCGTTTTTTGGATATTAGTAACTTTTTCCTTTTTTTTTTGACTGTGTTTTTGTTTTCCATGTCGACAATGTGTGAAAATTCTCAGAATATATCTGTATTTGTTTATCATCACTTGATAAAGTCAGATGATGAAACACGTCAGCAAGGACTAAGTATTATTTTTCAATTGTCTATTTTATTCAATTTGTCTTCTGTACAGATATAGTACAACAATAGAATGAAACAATTAGCAAATGTTAAGCCATTTATTAAATTAAAAGACTATAAAGACTACTTCATAATGAAACCAACATGCAGATTACTAAACCCCCCAAAAAATTGATATTAGGAAAATAAGCAAACAAATATTAGAAAAATTATGCTCAAAACTAAAAAGCACACTAAATATAAACTAATGGAAAAATACTAAAGCTACAATCAATTGCTTTAATAACACTAGTAATAAAGAAAATTGCTTTTTCATACAATTAGACATAAAAGATTTCTACGCATCCATTAATGAACATACACTAAACAATGCATCAAACTTAGCAAAACAATACATCAATATCCCTAATGAGGACATAAATATAATTAAACACTGCCAAAAAATCAATATTATGCCACAATAAAAAAGATATAGGCAAAAAAAATAGCCAAAATAATAACAATAATGATAATAATACTAATAACTTTAACTTAACAATGGATAGCTATGATGGTACAGAAGTATGCAAACTCATAGTCATATACATGATCAATAAATTAACAAATATTATTGACAAAAAGATATAGGGTCATAGAGGTATGACAATCTATCAATTCTAAGAAATTGCAACATCAGAACTACAGAAAAAAATAAAACAAGAAATAACAAAACTCAAGGATTTACAATCAATATAAAATCAAATCAAAAAATAGTAAATTTCTTAGACATAACATTCAACCTAAACAATAGGAACCTACAAACTATACAGAAACCCAAATAACAATCCAATATACATTAACAAAAATTCTAACCACCTCGCCCTAATGTATTTAAACAAATACCCATATCTTTAAATAAAAGAACCTCAAAAAATTCTAGTAGCCTAAAAATATTCAATGAAAACAAAAAAACATGAATCAGTTCTAAGAAAATGCGGATATTCCAATGAACTAGAATACAAAAACTATTCAAACACAACAGAAAAAGAAATATAATTTAGTTCAACACCCCTATAACAACACAATAAAAACAAAAATAGGGAAAATCTTCATACATATATATATATATATATATATATATATATATATATATATATATATAAAGAAATATACTCTTAAGCTGTGCTATATTTATGGGATAAAGTGCTCAATAGCAGAGATAGAGCGTGTGTAATTATAAAAGTGAACATAGAAGTCAACACTTAGAGGAGATAGACTGTTTCATGCTAGATGCAATTGTGGCCTGATGATTGTGCCTAGTATGAAACAGCCTGCTGCCTCTAAGTGTTGAATTCAATGTTGACTGTTATATATATATATATATATATATATATATATATATAAAATACACACACAAATGAATGGTCACATGTAAGTATAAATTGAAACATGTTGAACTGGATTAATTTCAACTGAAGACTATATTTTTCTTTTTTCATTTATTTTGCTTTTTTATCTTTTGTTGATTACAATTTATTTTTTATCTGAGTGTTTATTCGATAGCTCGAATTATTTTATATCAACGTATGTAGGTCTTGATTATTTTTTACCTCTTCATACCTAATATTTATATTAAATACGTATTAATCACGATATGTCTACCATGTATTGTACCATTTCTATTATATGCATGTGGCTTGGTATTTGTGTTGTATCTGCAATACTTTGGATTAATCGGGTGTACTCATAAGTAAATTTAGATATTCTATGAATATTGTATCTAACATGGTTAAATGTAAATACAAACTAACTTAATCCAGTATTTCTTGTAAATGCGGCTATACTAATATACCTATATATGCAATAACTTACATATGTAGATATGCCATGATATTGGTAATTAACTATATTATTTTATTATAATTACTTGGGTGTGTATGTTTATATTTAGATTGAATTCCTACCTTTGTTACTTGAAGTATGTAAGTTGTGTGGATATGTGTCTGTTTATGTTTGTGTATGAATGTAGTCTGTATATTAACCAGCTCAAATTACTTTATATATACTTGGTTATATATATATATACACATTTTCTTTTTTTCATACAAACACTATCAAACATGGTGATATGTAATTAGATATTAACTTAATCTAGAATTTTTTTGTAATTCTGGTTATAACTTAATTTAGTATTTCTTGCATGTGGTTATATATATATATATATATATATATATATATATATATATATATGTGTGTGTGTGTGTGTGCGCAAATATATAGAAAAATAGGAAAGAACTGTTAGATTAATAATCCGTAGTTCTTTAGTATTTTTGTTTTTATTTTTAAAAAAAAAACAGTGCACAATTCATAAGTAGAGCCTAAAATATAATTATTTTTTTAAAAATTGATTCCATCGCTACATAAGAGTTCTCATGTTTCAAAAACAGAAGCTAAAAAATCAGCTCAAACGAATTTTGGAATAACTAATCTTGAAATATATGGAGCTTTATAAGCATATACATTCGTAATATTAATTACATGGAAACGGCAAAACCAATTATTTTAATAAGGGGCGTAAGGGTTAACATATTGTATCAACATATTAGTTACTTTTGAAAAGAGGTTAAGTCAAGGTAAGGTCAAGGTGTTTATTTTCAAATGAATGATGACATCAGTTTGACATATATCATCTGGTCTGTTTCAATAAGAGAGAGTTGTTGGCATTATTGTTATGCTGTCAAATTTGTATTTAGAAAACTTAATAATGTGTAGTTTTTCAGGTAGGCATAAAGGGCATGGGTCATCCCAGGTTTTACAAGTTCATGTTTTATTTATTTTCCATTTTACTTTCGGTGTTTTATTTATTTTTATTTATTTTTTAAATGCCAAAAATATTTGGATAGGGATGTCTGATTTCTATTTCTAATATTATATTAATATTACGAATGTATATGTTTATAAAGCTCGGTAAACTTCAAGATTAGTTTCCAAAATGCGCTTGAGGATGAAACAGCTGATTTTTTAGCTTCTTTTTTGAAACATGAGAACTCTTATGTAGCGATGGAATCATATTTTTAAAAAATAATAATATATAAGTAAAGGCAATCCTTAAAAATCCATTTCGGTTATGATTTATTTCATGAATATATTTAAATATTCATCTCTTCAGACTGAAGGTTTATTTTAGAAGTGAAATCAGTTTATCCAGACAAAGGGAAAGGGAAAAGGAAAAGAAACAAAAAGGAAAAAGAAAAAAATTTATAATAAAAAAGGAAGAAAGAAAAATTAAAATTTTAATATGAAATTTAAAAAAAAATAAGGTAAGAAAGGAAGAGAAAGAAGGAAAGAAAAGAAAGGAAAGAAGGAAGAATTAAAAATGAGCTGATAAGTTGATTTAGAAACAAATTTTTCCTTAAAGAGATACAGTAATGTGTTTAATATTCATGTAATTTCAGACAGCAAACAATCATTATCATATTATAATAATCATCACAATTTTAAATTAATAAAAAAAAATAATAATAATATCCAACATCAATAAAATAAAGTAAATTAAATAAAATAAAAAATTTAAATAATATAAAAAATAAATTTAATAATTAAATAAATCAAGAGATAAATAAAGATCAACAACATAAAAAATATAGAAAATAATGAAGATAATACTATCAATAATATAAAAATATTAATTAATAATTTAAAACTATAAATGATGTAGGCAAGACAATCACATAAATGACAATATACAAAAATGTGAATACACGTACACATATATGCTAGTACTCATATAAAACAGAATCAATACTTCAAGTTTATATTCCCCAAAGTTAATGTTTTTTGGGAATTTTAAATCTGTTCTTGTGTCTACACATGAAGATAAATTTGTTTCTTTGATTCAATAATTGGACAACATTTTTGTATTTAATCACTATAATTTTCTCTTGTATGCATAGACTAAATATGTCCCAGAAGTTGTTGAGAGTCTGAGACTGACAGATGATATTCTATTTAGTTTGTGGCATGAAGCCTCTATCTTTAAGTATCCAATAATGTTTGGATAGAGCAGTTTGGTGTCTTAAAGAAGCATTGGAGAAAGAATGTCAGCGATTGTAAAGTCTCTGTTTCCAACTCCCAGTGGATATCCCTATGTATATATTTTTGTTATCATTGGTATTTTCTTTCAGAAAAATGGTAGCTTGGTATATCACATTTTTCAAATTACAGATACTTCCAACTGAACAGTTAGTTCTGATTCTGGACTACGGGGAAATGCAACACAAGCTGAATTTCACAGTGCACAACATGAGCAAGTGATTACTAATAATCTACCTCTAATAACCCTGCCTTAATGTACTGCTCTGCTGGCGCATGTTCAGCGATTTATACAGCCAGCCTTGGATCCTGAGGATATGAATTTTTGACATTCACAAGTACATTGATATTCCATAATTCATGAGTTAGTGACAGTAAATATTTGTCAGTTCTGTTTCATTATTATACCTCATTTGTTTTATTGAAAAATACTTTGAAACTGATTATTCCCAACTTGAATTTGAAATGCTACAGTGTTTACAGTGTTAGGGATTTGTCTAATTATTGAGTTAGGGTAGATATTAATGTCAACTCCAATCACCCAATAGAAAAACTCTAAAAATCAGTTATTCCTGCACTAACAATACACATAATATTAACTCACGCAACAACTATTTATTAAATGTAGTAGCGCTCAGTGAGGACTGTTGGTAATAAAACAGTGCTCAATGTAAAAGAAGAGAGCTAAAATTATTTGTCTCTTATATGGTGCACACACACACACACACACGTGAGTATGTGTGTGATATTCCTGGATCCAAGAAATCTTTTAGGGGGGGGGAAAAAAAAAAAAAAAAAAAAAAAAAAAAAATCGAGGTTTTAAGCCCTTGTGCTCACATAGAAAAATTTTTATTAAGTGAATATGAAGCCAGTTAAAAAAAATATAATTTAAAACCCCACTGTTACTCTTTAGACACACTAGCCTTCCCACCCTCTATAACAACTAAGTTACATCTTTACTGTATATATTTACTGTATATATTTTCCCGCTTTACTGTATACATTTACAATAGGCTTGCATTCCCGTTCCTGTCCATTTTTTTCTTCAACCTTCTTTTCCCCTTCCTTTCCATTACACTCCATGTCCTGTTTTCAATCATCATGAGCCTGTTATTTTTTTGAAAGATAATTATGTAGTATTCTTTATTAACACTTTATTTCAAAAAATAAAGTGTTAAAATGGTCATTTTAAAAGTATTGCCTGATGAGACCACCAAGTCAAAACCATGGTCACGTATTTTAATGGACCACCTGATTTTTAAAGTTATACACACATAAATATATATTATGTACATGTGTGGCATATAAGAGGATTGATATTACATAACAAGTAAACACTATTTCCAATGAAATTTTCCTGTTTCTATTATCGTGCTTAGCTTGTGGAAAGCATCTTTTGCAGTGTTCACTGCCAATATAGAAGCAGTTCAGCACTCTTTTCATTGAAAAATTTGAGAAAAAAAATATCTAAATGGAGAGAGAGAGAGAGAGTTAGGCAGAAGCACATAAAAAAATCTATGAACATTTTGTTTAGTAATATGTAGCCTTTTCAATTCAAAGTTTTAAGAGAAATCATTGGGAAACTGATAACAATATGGAAAGAATCATCCGTATGTGGAATGATATTTGTTGTAAGGAAAAATAAAGGAGAAAGTCCGAAGTGAATGAGGACAAATTTACTCACATTGCTGCAAAGCAATCAGTTGCTACTTCCATTAGGGTTTTTGTTGGCGGGCAGGTCATCCATAACTGCAAAACTTCATTGAGACTGCTTGAATGTGGTAAGCTTCGATGTTCAGCATACTTTGTACTTATATGACCTAACAAACCCAAAGACCACTAGCAAAAAAATAAAAACATAAATAAAATAACATGTCTGAATTTCTGGCACGAGAAATTATTAGTTACATTTCGGCAAATGTTCTTTGTTGCTATTATCACAATGTTTTTGCTGTTGGGGTCTCCAGCCTTCTTCAGGTGTCTGTTGATCCCAGTAACCGTCAGTGAATATCAAAGATTACTTAAATTAACCCCTGAAAAAGTCCAGAGGTCAAAACAGCCAAAATGTGATAATAACAAAAGAGGGTTATTTGGTTGTTTTTGTTTAGCGACATCTCAACCTCGATGAATTACTTAATGCTAAAATCTAAATGCTTTTATTTTTACTCAATTTTTTCTAATAATGGTTTCAGTGATACAAGTCCTACTTATTAACCCATAACTGAGAAAGGAGTAGATGTGAATCCATATCTTTCCCAAGCATATTTGCGAGTAAGTGAACATAACAAACTCAACTGGAATTGGAACTCTGCTCTCCAATTTCCAATTCCAAGCCATTATACCACCTTACACCTATTACCAAGTGGTTACCCACCTAGGTAGTGACCAAGCTTGATATTTCAATGTGATGTGGTCATAAGCCTGTATCAGAGATTAATTCTAGTGTAATCATTAGTAATGCACATTGATAACATTACAAATGTGTGTAAGTGAATATAATGAAATAACATATATATATATATATATATATATATATATATCTATATATCTATATATATATATATATATAATAAGCAGTAGGTAAAGTTATTGATTGATGGCGACACAAAACTGGAAATAAGAAAATAGCTGAACAATAAAAAAAAATAAAATAAAATAAAAAAATTGAAAACATTGGTAAGATTAAAAAAATGAAAGAATTTGGCTTTAACAAGAATTCTTTGTCTAATTATTTCAAAGTCGCAATAAGAAGAATTCTTACAGCAGAGATAATTGGTGCCCATGCAACTGGATTGCTTTTAATGAAGTTCAACAGGACACTGCAAGCATCTTGGATGACTGGTTCCAGGCTGTGCAGATTTTCATCTATGAAACAAAAAGAGGAGAATGAAAGCAAAAAGACACTAAAATTAAACAGTTACACATATTTAACAATTTTGACAATTATATTTTTTTTTTTTTTTTTGAAGGGACAAATTTTATTATATATATATATTATATATATATACACACACACACACACACACACACACATATATATACAAAAAAAAAAAAAAAAATTTCTTTTTCTTAATTTAAAATTTCAGCCTCTCATCTCCATCATGTGCAATCACATCAATGCAAATCTCACTTTAGTGCAATGAAGTCCTAAAGGACAGAAAACATCAGACAAAAGCCTTTTACACTTTGTCATAAATTTTCTTGAAACACATATACACACATGTACACAAAAACAAATACAGACACACACATATATATAAATATATATATATATATATATATATATATATATATATTATATTGGATAGATGTGAGTTTGTGACCCTGGGTTTCACGCTTTAGCGATCGTCAGACAAACTGATTAATGTTTTAAAAATTTTGGGTTTATGTAGATTGCGTGTATTGGTGTTATTGTGGAAGTGGTGGTTAGCTCTATCTCTGATATTGAGCGCTTTCTAACAAGTACCGCGCATATAATATATAAATAATTATACATATATATATTTGTTTATATTTATATACACTTTTCACACACATGTATGTATGTATGTACAAGCACACACAACAGCACTGTGTAATGACATGTAAAAAAAAAAAAAAATAAAATAATTACATGTCCCTGGTACATATTGCTAGCATAGGACTTTCTTCATTCTACTTCACAGTATTTAACTTTCGAACAAAAAAAATAAAAACACTTTTAAAACAATGCCCTACTTAAAATACATTTGAATCCTTTTCCTTCTCTTTAATTTTTTTACAAACCAGACTTGGACCCAATCTGATTTTTGGCTATTTTACACATCAAACAACAGTCACATTTGCATACTAAAAAAAAAAAAAAAATCTAAAATATCAATAAATTTAATAGGTACAAAATGTTTATTCTTTTTAGCACGTGTGCAGAAGAGTAGATCAGTTTGCTGATCATCTGGTTCACACTCCTCAGTTTTTTTAAACGAGAGTAGAGGTTTCTCTCATTTCCTGTTTAGGATTGGGTTTCCAGTTCCTTCTGTCTTCTCATTCTCCCAATAGCCTCTTGCATTGGGGGAACTGATTAACAGAAAACAAAGAAATATAATAAAAAGTAGAAGTAGAAGAAATTACAAAGAAATGTTGGAATTGCTAAGTAACCAGTACATATTTGGGAAGGATATTAGAATAATCTAGAACCTACAGTGGCAGCAAACAGATAGAAAATGAAGTCAGTAAATATACAAAATAGAAATGGCTGTAAGATAAAAACATGTCTTCTCACCAGACTTATTCAACCTATACAGTGAGACAATTCTGAGAAAGTTAGAGGTTCTACCAGAATTCATTATTGGCTACCACAATCTTAACAAAAGAAGATATGCAAATGACAGTGTTGATAGCAGATACACAAAGGAAACTACAAGAACTATAGAAAGTAATGAAAGACAGAAAGACTAAACATCAATTGCAAGAAGACAGAATGCATGGTTGTTAGCAAAAGGAACAGCCCAACATACAAATTACAAATAGGAGACAAACAGGTACAACAATTTACATATCTGAGAAGTATTTTAACAGAAAATGAAAAGTGCAACACTGAACCCCAAAGGTGCATTAAGATAGCAAAAGATGCCTTCTAAAAGCTAAGCAAAGTATTAAGAAACAGAAAATTTTTTTTTAGGAAATAGAAAAAAGTGTACCGAACTGTTATGCAATATTAGTCCTCCTATATGACAGTGAATTCTGGACAATCTTATCACAGATGGAGAAGAGACTTGAAGTAACAAAAATTGGTACTACAGGAGGAGGCTGAGAATACCATGACCCAAACATGTGAGCAACAACTAAGTTTTAGAGAAAATGGATGCAAAAAGCAAACTTATATTTAATAGAAAGAGAGAGAAATATTTCCATGTATTGGAGTGTGTTTAATTTAAAAAAAACAAAAAAAAACATAAAAATTTCAGTAACACTGTTTTAATAATGTCACCTTCAGTGACTTGCAATTGGTTCCATCAAACATCAAACCAGTTGTGTAAATATACATAGAACAATCCTCCAAAATAAATGTAGCAAGTACTCAGAAAAAAATAATGTAAAATAAAAATATGAACTTTGTCAAATTTACATATAATATAAAACAACTATTTTGGAAATTTGAAAAATTTAATTAAAAAATTCATAGAAAGAACTTGTCAATATTATTTAAGCAAACATTTTTGAAAGAATTATTACTGCAGAAAATAATATATATATATATATATATATATATATATATATATATATATATATATATATATATATATATAAAATAAAATGAGAATAAATGGGGTATAATTCCACTGTTTGTAACATTTAATTTAAAAGAGGGCTCAATACAGAGTAGAGCTAAATATTATTTATTTTAGGCTACTAAAGCAAAAACATGTTTAAAATAGCTACACAATTGCAATTATGTTTTGACACTACAAATGTGTCTCCTCAGGTGATAGTAAACTAGTGACGAATGAATGATTAATTTAATTTCAAAAGCAGAATACTTCCTCTTTTTCTGAAAAAAAAAAAAAAAAAAAAAAAAACGATTAAAAATAGGCTTGTGGGATTTACCATGATTAACCAATCAAATGTGAACTATGCTAAATTCAAGCTCACTGAAAAAAAAAAAAAAATTTCTTATATAGGTCATGACAAAGTTGTCTGCATATAAAATCTAGACAATTTTATTATGGAGAGATACAAATGGTGACATTATTTCATACAATTTATAGAGTCCTAGTGTTCAACTTTTCTAAGAAGTAAAAGCAAAAGAGGTGGGGAAGTAATTTAACATAATGCGAACTAGTTACAGGCTCAGTCAGCTTCCTACATAAAATTTTGTGGTTGATAAATAAAAGGCCCACATACACAAACAATTATCTCTACAGACATATATGCATGCACAAACACACACATTTGTCCATATGCAATATAAGCTGTAAAATTTGATCTAAAACTGGAGAATTAATTTTTTTTTATATAATCCTAGAGTAAACATTGACTGACCGGTTGCTCCAGGTGTATGTCCTGGTCGAGTGTCCAGATTCTTGACGTGCAACATGACAGCTTCATCAAAGATGTGACACATGTGCTCCAAAACTGCATGGCGAGCAGCAGGTAGGGTGCGTAACAAGAATAGTGCTGACTTGGCTAAACTCTCTCGATTCACTTTGCCATCATAGGTTGTGCCCCTAAGGAAGTGCCGCACTTCATTTAAGATGTCCTGAAATTCAGAAGAAAAATTTGTTGTCTTGGTTAAAAATAAATGGCATGGTAAAGAAAAAGTATATAAAAAAACAAAAAAAAATATTTATCATAACATTTATCATATTTATGACGAATAAAGACAAAAGGAAAAGTTATTGTAACTGACACATTTCATCCTCTGATGGACTATATCAGGGCAAATGTAAGGATTTTATTTTGTTAACAAGTATTTATAAACAAAAGTGAAAATGTAGTTAGTTTTTGAGAATTTTTAAAGTTAAAAACACTCATAAACTTATATCAGGCTAACCAAAAGTCAAGGTAAATTATAGAGGGTGCTAAGTGATATAATTTAATGTACAATAAACAAAACTGAGTAAATGTTATTACTGAAAATTTTTCTCTTTTTTTTTTATAATGTAATTATTATTTATATTATTTTATTTTGAGATTAATTTATGTATTCCGTCAGTTAAGTGCCATGCGTGATCCACACTTAGGTGATCATGTATCTTTTGATACATGACTAACGAAGCAGATTTTTTTCCCACAGTAGGTTGCCATTTCTTTCTGCGGTAGACCAGTTGCCATCCAAGGCTATAGAAGTCTGTCCTGCTATTTACCTATTTAGCTGGGGGGAGAAGAGGAGGATTCATGCTTTTCCCAAGGCTATTAGCACATAAGTGCATGTAATGGATTCAACTAGAATTCGAACTCGGCTCTCTGATTCCTCAATCTAAGCCACTATCCATTACTCCACCATGCCTCTTATTTATGTATTATATATTTTAAATAATAGGTTTTGTTTGAATTTAACAGTTTTCTTTTAATTTTTAAAAATGTTATATATATATATATATATATATATATATATATATAAAATTTATTGCTTAAACATTTTTAATGGATACCCATATTTGTGTAGATGCTGTTTTGATTTATTTATTAAACAGTAGATTTTAAAAAAAACCCCAAAAAACTCCTTTCAGTTAATTTAGTTTTTGAAATACAGCAAAATATTTTGATTATTGGAAATATTAAATTTAGTCTATTAGTGTGATATTAAAATTAAAATAAAATCTTCAAGAAGGATTTTTCATTTTAAAATTTCATTTCAAACCTTAGGTATCATGTTTCTTTAGTGTTACTGACACAAATACCCTTGGAAAAGGTATGAATCTTCTCACCACCTTGCTATGGGTTGAATATCAGGGCATATCAATAGCATTGGTTGGTAACCAGTCTATCAAAAAAAAAATAGCAACCTATTGTGTGAAATCTTTTACCTACTTAGTCATGAATTGATTGATTTATTCATTTTCTATGGTTTATCAACCCTATGCAGGTTATTTAAAGCCATAGAATATTTTTAGATTGGAAGAATTTGGGGGGAAAGATAATATTTTTTAGTAATAAGAGTGAAAGTTTTACTAATTAATCCATAGATTGGGGAGAAGAGGAGGATTCATACCTTTCCAAATGAATCATTAATCGAAAAAGACATGATCGTAAAAGCGTGTATCACGTACGGTGCTTTACTTTTTTTTTATCTGGTAACCATAGTCAGGCACCAGGTGAGAATCGAACTCATTTGTAAGGGTCTACATTACAAGTGTTGATTGCCAACAACTGCTCCATAGCGAGATAAAATGAAACAAGAATCCAATAGTTCAAATAAGGAATATTATCTTCATGTTTGTTGTTTTTTATCCGGATACATATTTCGGCCTTTCTCAGAAGGATGTTATTGTTGTGTTCCGTTTAAAAACGGACAAAATCGGAAACTATCGTCAAGAAGGAAATTAATTACTAAAAACTAAAATATTGCATCTAGGATTGAGAAAATCAGTTGTTTACTATAAATTAATGATAATTAAATTGAAAAATAAAATATCACTGCTTATTTGTGGTAAATCTTTCAAATCAAAATTAAAAAGTAAAAACTGAATCAGTCCGAAACAAAAATCATGAGTTTTTTAAGGTTATTTCCTTTGTTTACTTACAAATAAAGATTGTTAAGATACATAAAAATCCTCTTTTTTTTTTTCGGAACATAGATTAAAAAAAAAACAAGGAAATAAACAAAGCAGATAAATTTCACGCAACATAAATAAATATGTCAACAGTCAACACATTTTCACTCAGTCGCCGATCAAAATATCGACTGCATTTATTTTGTGTATAAAATCCTTTAAAAAATCATATATCATAAAAAGAAAATTGTTTTTATTTTTAATTTAAATAGTCACGTAAACTGCCCTTAAGAAAAGTAAAAAGAATTTTAAAGACTTTTTTCTGATTAATTTTTATCTGAATTTAAAAAAAATGTTTTTCCTTTTACGAAGATATTTGTTTATTTGTTATTTTTTAATCAACCTTAGAAAAAATTATTGGAGACCAAAAAGTTAAAATAAGTTATTATTTTAAACAAATAAAAGAAGAATTATTGTTATCTTTCAAAGAAATTAAATTAAATTAAATTATTAGTTTTAATTCCGATTCTTTTTTAGTTCACCGAATAAAAAAAGTCTGGAAGTGACGAGCAAATGATTGTACCTGTATATAATAAGGGATTGCAAAGAGATGATTTTTGGAATTGGATGGACCATAAAATAGAAAATGAGCAATCGAAGAATCTATGGAGAAGATAAGGATTTTTAAACATCTATTTACCTGCGAAGTGAAATTAACAGGACCCGGTTCAGCATTGTTAGCAGTTGCGGCTGCCATCTTGACTTTTTATGACATGAAATAGTTTTCGTAGGCGCAGTTTCGAATCTTTTAAAATAACAGAAAACTTTAAGAAAGTTGAGTAATTTTTTATTTGCTTTGATTTTTTTTTTTTATATTTATACACAACTAAACTTTCTTTTTCTTTAAATCAAGCAACTTTTTAGTTGATAAATTTTATTATTATGACTTCAATAAATTTATTTAAAAAAAAATAAAATAAAAAAAAAAGGTTATGGCATGACGTTTTAGGTCAGCTTCTTTCGTGTTGATCAATTCACAAGTGTCATAAGATTGACCCTCAGAAATGCTCCAATATTGTGACCTTTTGCCAGACGCTTCATAATAAATAACTGTGCACCGTCATCAGGAGACAACTGTTAACCCACTAACCTAGTAAAAGATTCTTAATTAATGTGTATAATTCTCCTTGCATGTTAGCTAAAAAATGCTAATTTTGTTTAGGTGTGCATTCCAAAATAGTTTGAAGTGTTAATTGAAGGTGAAAAAACTGAAGTTCAAGCAATAACAAGAAATTTATTTGACAAACAATAATTTACAGTCGGACAAGTGTTCCCATCTTTTTTTTATTATCAAACAGAACGTTTCGGCTGTTGTGTCAATTGGCCTTCTTCAGGTGTTATGGTGCGATTAGTAGTTGGGTTGATCAAATTAAATGCGGCTGCGTGTTTCAAGATAATCAACATCCATACATTAAATTTAAACATCAAGGAAAAAAATCAAGCTCAGTGAACATTAATAATTGTATTAACTATTAACAATGGTATACAAATTTCAATAAGTACAACGAAAGTTGCTTCCCTTTTTCCGTAATAAAAAAGGGTAAGTTTAGCTAATAAATGTTGAGTACAAAATTGAATGTAATTTAACTACAAAGTTCAATTGAAGTCTTAGCTAAATACAGAATAGTTCCACAGTGTTTTATCAGTGTAGAAAGATGTAATGTTCATGAGTTATATCAACAGGAATTAGTATGATTACTCGAATGAGTAATAATTAAGAATTAAAATGTCAATATAGCGCCGTGCCTTATTTTCCAAGAATTGAACTGCAACTGGTCTTTTGGTTGATAGCGAAATTCTTTTATAACGATGGATAGGCTCCGGATAGCTTAGCGCCAGAAATATAGAAAAGATACTAAAATACGCGATTGGTCAGGAAATGGACCAATCCGTGATTTTAGAGAAAAATTCGAATTACTTGCGATGGTTAAATTGTCCTATAATAAGTATCATGTATTTATTAACCAATGAGAATTGGAGAAAATGTAGGCGTAGCACTACAATACCCTCCACAAAATTGGAAAAAAGGTGATGAAAAGACAGTTTTTTTCAATATGTTATGTAATGCTTGTATTTACTAGGCCAATGGACCTTCCTACCTTTTTTTGTGTGTTTTGATGCAGGTGTTTGGGCTTGGTACTGTATGTCGCCTGGTGTAGTTGGTGGTTGAGATTTTGGGTCGGGTTCCGTGCTTTTGTTCTACGTATGCTGGTTTCAGGCGGTCAATCGAGATGTTCGATCGTCCGCTAGGGAGTAGAACAGTGTAGAACTTGCTATGTCGTGCGAGAACACGGAATGGACCCGTATAACTCGGTGTGAGTGGTCTTTTCACTGCATCTTGTCTAATGAAGACAAAATTACATTTGCTAAGAGATTCGGGGACAAATATATCTTTGGTCTGGAATCGAGTAGGTGTAAAAGATAAATTTGACATTCTACTCTGCAAATATTGAATAAAGGATGAAGAAGGTTTTGAAACGGAGCTGTCAGACAGAAATTGCCCTGGCAAAACTAATGGCTGTCCGAAAACAAGGTCGGCAGGTAAACACTGAATATCCTCCTTCACTTGTGATCGAAGTGACAGCATTACCAAGGGTAAGTTGTCTATCCAAGATTGTTGATTACTAGCGTTGGAACTAGTTAAAGCGGCTTTTAGCTGACGGTGAAAAATGCTCCACCAAGCCGTTAGCACAGGGATGGTAAGCTGGTAGAAATGTTTTGCTCCTAGGAGATTGATAAATTCCTAAAAAAGGGTGGACTGGAATTGTGGGCCGCGATCTGTTGTTATAACTGATGGGCATCCGAAAACGAGATCAATTTCTCAGTAGTGCCTTAGCAACAGAATCGGCGGTCGTGGATTGAAGAGGATAGCATCTGGCTATCTCGAAAATCTGTCGATTATGGTTAAAAAATATATTGGTGTCCGTGGACTTCCGGCAACGGACCCACCAAGTCGACGTGCAGGTGACGAAATCGTCCGTCTGGCGTGGGAAATTACCAGGCGGTGACTTGGTATGACGATGTGTTTTTACACGTTGACAAATCACACAGCATTGAGTCCAGCTTTTAATATCGCTGTTCATGTTGGGGCTTGGGCCATACAAAGCGTTCAGAAATCATTTTCGATGTGGCTTTGCGACCAGGATGTGAAATTGAGTGAAAATGGTCGAATATTTTCCTCCTCATGCTGACAGGTACCAAGGGTCTGGGAGTGGAAGTATTTGTATCACAAGTGAAGGGTAAAGGTTTCTGTTCTATTTTTAGCGACGAGTCTTGTAACGAGTTGAACAGAGTGATGTCCCTTACTTGTTCGTCTGCTAAGTTTTCCATGTCCAGTTTGTCTTCAATGGTACTGTTTAACGTAGCTCGTGATAGCGTGTCGGTGACAATGTTGTCATTGCCTGCCACATGCCGTATGTCAGTTGTGAATTGCGATATGAAATCTAATTGCCTATAATCACGAGGATTGTATTTGTCTGATTTAGTATGGAGGGCGAAAACTAGGGGTTTGTGGTCAGTGAAAACTGTGAAGTTTCGTTCCTCCAGGATGTGTCGAAAGTGTCGAATAGAGAGGTATATGGCTAATAATTCACGTGAGAAGGTGCTATACTTCTTCTGTGTCGAAGTAAAGCTTGACAGAAAAGAAAGAAATTGGCGTGGTTTGTTTATCGGTATGCTGATGCAAAACCGCTCCAATAGCTTCTGATGACACATCTGTAGTTAGTGACAGAGTTGCTTTGTTGTCATCGCACAAATATGTTAACTTTGTAAAGTTTGCTAGAGCTTCGCGAGAACTGTTAAAAGCAACGAAGGCTTCGTCCAGGAGCGTTATGGGGGATGTTCTTCTTTCCTTGACCACGGAGTAGGTTGGTTAGTGGTGCTAATATTTGCGAACAGTTCGGGATGAACTGGCGGTAATAATTTATCAGTCCAAGATATCGACGGAGTTGACGAAGGGTTGTTGTTTGTGGGGAATTCTTCACTGCAGTAACCTTTTCAGGGATCGGCGTGATTCTGATTCGTCAATAACATGCCCGAGGATATTAAGCTTCGAAACGGCAAATAAACACTTGTCAGGATTTATTTTCAATCCAAAATGCTCTAATCGTTCGGAAAACTTGCGTTACGTGACGCACGTGGTCGTCCATGTTGGCACTTGCTATTAGTAGATCATCGATGTAGGCAAATGAGTGGTGTAAACCTCGAAGGGCTTCATCGATTAACCTCTGGAAAGATTGTGCAGCGTTCCGGAGACCGAAAGGCATTCGTAGAATTCGTAAAGATCAAAGGGTGTCGTTATAGCAGTCTTGTGCACATCTTCCTCATATAAGAGGAATCTGATAAAATGCTTTTCTCAGATCGATTTTTGTAAATAGTTTTGCACCTTGCAGAGAAATTGCAAAATCTGCCAAATTAGGGTACAGGATACTTGTCAGGCACTGTTTGTGTGTTTAAACGTCGATAATCGCCGCAGGGTCTCCATGCCCCCTCCTGCGTCTTAGGGACCATGTGGAGTGGAGATGCGAAAGGGCTAGACGAAGGCCGGATAATTCTAAGTCTAACATGTGCTGAAATTCAGCGCGCGCTAGCTTATACTTCTCAGGACTTAACCTGCGCGGCTTGGAAAAGACTGGCAGGCAAATGTTTGAATTTTGTGTACGGTGTGGTGCTTCACCGTTTCGGTATATGTAAAGGGTGGATAAGTGAAGGAAATTTGTCCAATATACCTTTGAGAGGGTTGTCTGCTGGCAAGGCGACGCATAGTTTAGTGGAGGTGAGGGTGGAAGTAACTCCATAATTCATAAGATTTGTCGTCTGGTCTAACAGTGAGTGTTTCGACATATCACGATAAGTTTATAGTGAGCCAAAAAATCTGCGTCTAATATTGGGAACTTGACTTCGGCTACTGTAAATAACCATTGGAATGTTCTCGTCAGGCCTATGTCCAAAGTCATTGATACTTGACCGAAAGTCTGGATTTGTGATCCATTAGCAGCACGTAGGGTTACTGAAGATTTAGTATTTGAAAAACTGGGACGTGGTGGAATAACACTAATTTGTGCACCTGTGTCCACAAGAAACATTTTGTCGGAGTTTCTATCTCTAACGTAGAATAGACGGCTGGCATTTCCTATCCCAACAGTAGACGCCGTCTTCATGCGCTGTTGGGAATGGCGTTTCCCGCCTCCTGGCATGACGTAGAAGTCGGTTGTTGTTTGAAATTGCACGGTTTGGTGCAGTTTCTCGCTGCCTGTCCAAATTTGCGATGGTACCAGCAATATACATCGTTTCTTCCCCGAGAATTAGATCGGGAACGTCGTTGGGACTTGTATAATTTGTGAGCTGAGGATAATCGCTCTCTAAACAAACGGTCTATCTGTTCAGATAGCCTATTAATTTGCTGTTGCAGCTTGTTAAATTCGTCCTCACGTGGCGTGTCGCGTAGCGTTGGAGCGTTGACACTGCTGATAGTTGCAGCATCACTTATCTTGTCCGCTATCTCCGCCGTTTTTTCCAAATCTAGGTCTTCTGGTAGTGTAGCTAGGATTTGAGTTGTGTGAGTTGGTAATTTGTCCATCCACAATTTACGAAATAAAGAATCGGACATCGAGTTTTTGCCGAGCAAATTCTTCATTTTCGCAGTAATTGAGACGGCTTGCTGTCGCCTAACTGCAACGTATTGAACAAGTCATTCAGTTTACGTTCTTGCGACTTCCCGTCCTGTAGATTATTGCCTCTTTCAGTGTGTGTCGAAAGGGTTATGTATAGGGACGTTATTTAATAAATCAACACATCGGACGCAATTTCAGGTGGCAGTTTTTCCACTACATAGGCATAACGTACCATCTGGGATTGTATCTTCTTCGCCTGAAATATAGCCTCTAACTGTGCGAACCACACATTGACGTTGGTTGTCAAAGACTATCAAGTTGAGCATCACGGTTGCGTCACTGGCGTTCTGTTCGGCCATGTTAGATATGTTTTACGCACGTGGTGGACAATAAAAAAAAATTTTGGGGCGCCAAGTTGAAGTTTTTGTACGTGGAATTCTTTATACTGTGTTTGGCACACTATAAGGTTCACTTCACTTTTGTCTGTTATATTCCTTGAAAGTTGGTGTCACAAACTGTAGTTTGTTTCCGTCGGCGTCACCAATTGTTATGGTGGGATTAGTAGTTGGGTTGATCAAATATATAAATGCGGCTGCGTGTTTCAAGATAATCAACAACCATACATTAAATTTAAACATCAAGGAAAAAAATCAAGCTCAGTGAACATTAATAATATATTGTATTAACAATGGTATACAAATTTCAACAATAAGTACAACGAAAGTTGCTTCCCTTTTTCCGTAATAAAAAAGGGTAAGTTTAGCTAATAAATGTTGAGTACAAAATTGAATGTAATTTAACTACAAAGTTCAATTGAAGTCTTAGCTAAATACAGAATAGTTCCACAGTGTTTTATCAGTGTAGAAAGATGTAATGTTCATGAGTGATATCAACAGGAATTAGTATGATTACTCGAATGAGTAATAATTAAGAATTAAAATGTCAATATAGCGCCGTGCCTTATTTTCCAAGAATTGAACTGCAACTGGTCTTTTGGTTGATATCGAAATTCTTTTATAACGATGGGTAGGCTCCGGATAGCTTAGCGCCAGAAATATAGAAAAGATACTAAAATACGCGATTGGTCAGGAAATGGACCAATCCGTGATTTTAGAGAAAAATTCGAATTACTTGCGATGGTTAAATTGTCCTATAATAAGTATCATGTATTTATTAACCAATGAGAATTGGAGAAAATGTAGGCGTGGCACTACACAGGTGTCTGCTGATTTCGAACGCCTTGTTTTAGTCCTATTAGTTGACAATAGCCTAGAATATTAATACATTATTTCTTGAATTCACTGACATAGTAAGTCTTTAGTGAGTACAAAATATTAATAGCCATCATTACCTATCAGCACACCCTCCTTCCGTCAACGGTTGCCTCAAACCTTTTCTTTTTCTCTTTTCTTCATCGTCGTTACTACTCTTTGAGCAACGACCCAACGCTTTCAACGTTAAGGCACGTGACCGTTTTGATTGGACACCCATTCAAAGTGATTTGACGGTTGGCATTTGCCTCCAGTCATCGTCTCCCCGTCAATAAGTATCCACGTGCAGACAGACGATCTGCGGGCATCGAGTCGAGAAGATGCGTTTCCCGTCTCTCTCTTCACCATAGGGCTCAAACACCTCGACTTCGGTAAAAGAATTTTATAGTCAACTTCTTTGCCTGAAGCTATCTTCACCATCCTCGACTCGATCCTAGCCCAAACTTCCGACTTTCCTACTTAATACGAGATTCTCTTCCAAAAAAAAAAAAAAAAAAAGAAAAAGCAACAAGCTTTTGTCACGAACTCTTCCAGAATCTCCACTTGTCAACTACAGCGACAGCGAAAGATCAAGTTCTACATACTTACATCTATCTCTGTCGAAGGATCATCGCACGTAAGAGAATTCATTTTTCTATCGACACTTAACCATTCTCTTGCCGTTAACTCATCGACAGCATCTTTTAGACAACCGTTGCCACAGTATCAAGCGAACTTTATCTCTCATCCAAAGCAGCAAGTAAGTTAAGAACCCACGAGCCTCCACACGTGGTACTTGTATTTTTTGGATCTTCCCCTTGGTCTATACTATGTTGACGGACATTTCCCTTTCAAATTATAAACTCTGCAATTCTATCCTGGTTGAACTCATGCCGGAGTTTCATAACCTACCGTGTTAATCTGTTTCTAAGTCTTCGTTGATTCCTCTTCTATTCTCCGCTCCTTTCCTCTTCAGGAACATTTGGCGCCAACCATTACAATTTGACGCGCAATAACTTTCAACCTCAACATCAACCGCACGCTTCAGATTCACTGGACCTACTATCCAGAAACCAGGAACTCGACACCGACTTCTTTCCTCCTTCATCCTGTCGCTTTGTTATCAAATAAACTTATATTTGTTATGCCTTTCATACACCATTCGTGTTTGTCCATTCTCTACCGTTGCTAAACTAGTCAAGAACTGTTGATATCCTAAAAGAGTATCAACTACACTTGTACGTGGGAGTCTGGTGGTCTGACACATGGCCATACAAAAGGAAACCACACTAGGTGACCAGGCTTCTGCTACATACCCATTCCCTTCAAATTCAGGAAAAAGACGGACAGAAATTCGCGAACTTATGTGAAATTTTCTTTGTATTGATGATGGTATAGCGATTGCTATGTTTTTCACACCCACATACACTCCAAGTCATTTTATTCGCCTACGATTGGCTAATAAATTACTACTACCTTTGTATAGGAAAATTTAGCCATCGCAGTCGTTCCTTTGAATCTTTTGGTTCTGAGCATACTTACTTATTCTGTTTAGTACGAGTATAGTGATTGGTTAATTTTTAACCAATCACATATTTTTAATGTTTTTCCCGATGTTCCTTGGGAGCCTACCTTTTTCCTTAAAAGGGGCGACTTTTCGCAAGTCGCCAGTAAGATTCCAGCCGTCAACACAAATCCACGATCTTGCTCAACGCACACACAGACACAGAATTTCGTAACTACAAATTTACATTTTCTCTCTGTAACTTTTGCCAAGCACAATCAACCAGAACTGTGTTGATTCAAACCAATTTATCCACAACACATTTCAAGCAATTGTATTCTTCGTGTTGTTCATTCTTCACATGCAAACTTTGCTCTAACAATTATTTCGGAAAATTTATCTCACAAGAGAACTTTCTTCAAACAGTTGATTACAATCAATCTACAGTCAAAGGGAAAGAACTTTAACTCCTCTTTAATCTACATTGTGAATACAAAATTATTTCATGCTTGTTGTATTTTATTCAATATATATTTGTTGGTTAACAAATTAAAGTTGTTGTTATTATTACTTGAATCCTGTACGTGGAAGTATCTTACTTATTATAAAACGCGGATTGTGTGTGTGTGTGTGTGTACGTTTATATATTGGATCGGATTTCCTACATTTTTCAACCGATTTCAACAAAACTTCACAGGACTACGTAAAATTACCTTGCGGTGGTTCTGACAGCAATTGTTTTTGCACCAAATCAATTTGAAAACACGATTAAGAGGCATTAATGAAAGGGGGACAACTCATATCGAGTTATACTTATTAATATCGAGTTATACTTATTATAAAATCCAGGTTGGTTGTGTGTGTGTGTGTGTGTGTGTGTGTGTGTGTGTGTGTGTGTGTTGTGTTCGTTTATATGGGATCGGATTTCCTACATTTTCAACCGATTTCAACAAAACTTCACTTTTTTGGCAGGTAGTGTTTCTTATTGTGTTGCACACTTTTGTCTTTATTTTTACATTCAGAATGCTTTAAAAATTCCATTTACAAGACAATTGTTTATAATAGAATTCTATTCAGTCGATAGACTCATAACGATTGAAAACAATGTTTTTGTTTGAGTTTGACCAATTCGTAAAAAAGATAAAATAAAACTAATTAAGACATGCGTGTCCGTCAACCATAAACAATAATCTTTGTCAATTTTATTTTTCAGTCTTTATGATGGTCGATACTTGATCTATCTCTTACTGTTACATCCCCGGGCAACGCCGGGTTCTACTGCTAGTCATTAATATAAACACTGAGCCGCCATAATGGTATATTGGCCCGCAAACAGATATCGAATTACGCAACACAGTAACAAACAAAATAGAAACTCAACTAAAAATAAATATTGCCAAGTTTATTTTTGTTGAAGAAAATACATAAACATAAATAATGTCTCTTTGCCTCCGCCCGTAACGAGTGTAAGCGTGTCCTCAACGAAGCTAAGTCAATATTTGCGGCTCGGATGAAGGAGCGTATTGCATCTCGCAAATTTGGCTCCAAAGATTATTGGCGGCTCTGCAAGAGCGTCCTGAACAATAGAAAACCCTCCTTTGTTCAACCAGTTCGAGGTCCTGACCTCCTCTACCGACAAGGCTGAATGCTTTGCTCGGAAATTCTCATTTAATTCAACGCTCGACTCCTCCGGTGTACCCATACCAGACTTCCCTCTAACAACCGAGGCCCTACTGAGCGGGTTACACATAACCCCGTCATTGGTATTGGACATTATCTCCAATTTAGACCCCCACAAGGCTAGTGGTGGAGATGGCATACCAGCCATTGTCTTGAAGAAATGCGCGCCTGAGCTAGCGCCCGCCCTCTCTAAACTATATAACTACTGCCTCAAGGAATCCTGTTTTTCTGACTGCTGGAAGTCCTCATCCATTGTTCCTGTCTTTAAGAACTCTGGAGACACCTCTGACCCCTCTAATTACCGTCCTATTAGTCTCCTACCCCTCTTCGGCAAAGTCTTCGAAGCCCTAATCAACGACAAAGTGGTTAACCACCTTACTTCACACGACCTGCTCTCAGACAAGCAATATGGTTTCCGCTACGCCCGGTCTACAGCTGATGTGCTTACGACCATCACTGAAACCGTCTATCAAGCCCTTCAAAATAACGGTGAGGCTCGTGCCGTGGCTCTAGACATCTCCAAAGCGTTTGATAGGGTTTGGCATGCCAGCCTTCTTCGCAAGCTCCAGGGTTATGGTATTACAGGTCG